CGAGATTGCGCCGGCTTTGATATCTCAGATTAGCGCCAACGGACATATGTGTTAGTGCCCGAAGGCATAAAGGAGATTCGGCCGTACGGCGGCGAGGATCGTGTCGCTGCGTCTCCATCCGATTGTGTGCAATATGCTTTACGGGCATCCGGACTCCGGTACATACGCATGCACACACAATGACGTTGTATCGAGTATCCGGTAACCGCCGGCAAGGTGACGTCGAAATGTTCCCATTGAGGTGTGCTTGCCCGGAGAGCTTGATTAATGTTAAAGTGGTATGTAGAGAGTCTTAAGTCCGGCATGTCGGACCCCTTTTACGCCGTGCGCGTTCGCCTTTTAGCAGAAATATTTTCTTTATACGTTTTTGAGCGTGCGGCTGATACGAGTGCAGTAAATGTATCCATGAGAGATAATGACATTTTACTACGCTGCTTTTAGTGCAAATACGTTTTTTCTAGACCGGTTGGCTTCCTCCTGTAAAAAGTACGCGGTGTCTGAAAGCGGCGTGAAAGCGTTACACGCGGAGGGGCTCGCAGGTTATAAAGTAGGCTACCGCCTTTGCCTTCCTGCCATTATCACGATCCGATTCGGTCTTTCTTCCTGAAAGATGGGATATTAACTCGATGTAATCTCGAAATTGTCGCGATCAAATGAAAATAACTGGCGGACGGTGCGAGTGTTTTCCACACGGTCGCAATGGAGTATTCTTACGCGCGCTTACAAAAGGGAGTTCTATCTCTTAATAATCTTCAGCCGCAGAAAATCGAAGAACACCGATAATGCACTAACAGATTTTGTCTCTCTTTCCCGTAAATGCAAATTAGAGAGATTAAAACAGATATTGCCTTTCTGGAAACTTGCGTCTCGGTGGGGTGGACCGTGTCCAATTTTCTGTAACGGCATCAAGTAATCGAGTTTCAGATAATTGAAATTACTTTTTAAACGAGAAACATTGCTTCGCATGCTTGTCCTGATAACAACGAGAAATATCAGAGGAATATCGTAAAATTTTACGTCCGTGCGACGGAACCTTACATTTCGTTCTTTAGATAGTTGACGGCCGTTAAAATCGCGAACTCCATGAAAATGGCCTCGGCTCAATGGTATAAGTAAAACACCGTACATAATCTCACGTGTGTTTGAGAGAAGAACTGAGGGGGAGATTTAGTACCTTGTACATCCGTTTTACAACACCGACGGGACGCGCAACGTATCCCCGATTTGCGAATATATCTCGCGCGAGAGATCTATCAATTTAAAAATGCGAAAGCACTTAATCGAGCACTTAATCCGAGGAATCTCCGACATCACGGAACGTGTTAGTGGCACGAGTAAACGTATCGTCGATAAAACAAGTCCGCTTGCTTTGAATGCATCTGTTATTCTGAAATATAAAATAATGTACCGTGTCGCGAGGTAAATATGTGCTGAATAATTCGATGCGAATCAAATTTCATGGATTGAACATTATTTCGTTCGTTTTCCGTTTTTGCGCACTGAAAGCGCAATAACCATCGAAAGGACATCTCGTCGCGGTATCCACACATATTACGATACGAAGAAACGTAATCGAATGCGCTTTTCGCACGTCGATAACCATCGGATATGCTTTATGTAAATTTTCCGTCCGTACGATACGATACCCTCTCTTCTCTCTTCTATCTCCTGGCACGCCATTTACCGGTGCATTATGCACGCGTTCGCATTTACTCCGACCAACGTGGAAACGCTTTCCGCGTCGAAGCGGCGCTCGTAAGTGGCGATTGTCGAACTCCGGAAGCGCAGGGATTGTTTCTTCGTCGATCGGATGTACGTCGATCAGGTCGTCGATAGGTTGTCGTACGCGGGCAGGAAAGGAACGGGGATTAGAATCTATACGCCGCTCGTGTCGAGCGTGTCACGTGGATGGCGCGAGTATGCGACAGGTACTGAAGTAGACAGCAACATCAGCAATATCTGACGGACACCGGATGGGTTTATAGCGGCGAATCGTCTGTGCTCCGTGACCCAGATATGATTTCATGGTGATCGTAAAGGTGTTCAAACTGCGAACTTTCGCACTTATTTTTCCGCCTACATGAAAAACGTTGTACATTGTAGTAGGAGTGACTCTTTGCGATGAACTTTGAGACAATAATGACCCGTACTCGCGTAAACAACATATTATAAATACACCGGTAATGATATGTGAGTTACTTGAAATTTTATAATTATAATAATCATAATTTAAAAGCTGTTGTTTGTATCTTTCGTTAAAGGGTCGACATCTATTATTGCACAGTTTTTTTCTTTCCGGCACCGACACCCGGTTAACGTCGAAGGTAAAGTATTCACGCGAAAATGCACTCGATACGGAAGGTGATTCATCGCTGGATGTTTTATGCTTTTCGCTTTCACCCGAGCGGTCTCTTTTGAAGCGAGCGTCATGGTCGACTAATTGCAAGACACTCTCTATTTTTTGTTTAGCCGCAATTTGCAATTAACGTGAGCGCACGTTCTCCCCGCGTTTCCGCTTTTATGTGCATTTCTTTCGCGACTGGCAATTAAAAATTAATTCTGTTTACTGCAATGGTCAAAAGGGGAAAGTCAATTTGGGGACACACGTATAATTTTGCGTTAAATACGACGGAGCGTATCTCGGAACAAATGACCGTTGGTTTGGAGAAAATTTATTTAAGAATTATTATTCGCGGTTTGCTTCAGCATTAATTGTGCTCATCGTAGATTTTTTCTTATTTGCTGATCAAATTTGCTCGAAGCTAACGAGAGAATTATCCGTGTACTCACTAGGAAGCTCGTTTGTCGAAAGTTTTGTTCGAGTTATTGGGTGGTTCTGCGCAATAATTGGGATAGCGTTTAAATTTTTACAGAATAACAAGTTGACTGTAGATTTTCATAAAAAAAAAAAAAATCTAGTGCCTGCGCGTAATCCAATATTGCCGGGAATATCATGAGATATATTACATTCGTTAACGAGATGTTTACATCCCTATCGCATATATCTCGCTACAGTGTAACTGCATCGCGATGCGTGGCAAAAAAATGATAGGGGGAAAAAATATAACAACGAACAATCCTCTGTTTGCGCACGCCACGTTCTCAATTTACAAACTATCATGTAATCGTCTGAGCGAATTTTCACGTCCGAAGTTACGAAGCGCTCTCGAAGTTATGATGTTTCTGCATTTTATCGCGCGCGCGCGGGGGGATCCACTCGCGATTATCTCGTGCAAAGACACGTTTTGGTTTCGAAGGAGAGAGAAAAGGAGAAGGAGGACGCCGTGGACGACGGCAGGGTGGTTTAGAACTGGCCAAAGAAGCCGGACGTGGGAGGTTCAGGGGGAGGAAACGGGATTCGGGGAGATTTAATATCAGATAGGATTGAGAGGAAAGGACAGCTCGGAGGTAAACAGCGGTCCTAAAAGGGGGCGGAATTTGTATTTTGTCACCCCTGAGCGCGTATGCATAGCTGAGGGCCGCGGTATGCAACAACCGTGCCTGAGGGACGTGTAAATTTTAACCGCTCTCGCAGGGGGACGTCGAGAATCGAGAAGATGGTGTAGCAGGCGCGCATCCTCATTCGTTCGCGTTCGTCTGGTCCAGACTTTCCGCACGCTTCCAAGGCCGCGAGATTGTTTCCTGCGGGCGATTGTCTCGTGTTTCTCCGCGTTTCTCGCGCGCGCGAACGCTTGTTTTCCGCATTACGTCGCTCCCTCCCTCTCGTTTGTAACTTGGGTTAGTTTGCGTGCGACAAACGTATACTTTACATAAATATTAACCCGAGCACGATAAACGAGGGGCCGCGCGGCCAGTCTTCTCGTTACAAGGTGTACGCAATGTCGCGACGTTCTGATTACGCGATTTCGACGATAATTTACACGCTCGTGTGTAATAATGTATGTACAGACTGTGATAAAGCGACAGCACGTTGCAAAAGTAAGTGCGCTAAAACGCGCACAAATACGATCACCTCAAGCCTGTGAATTTCGCTAAAAAGGAATACACCAAGTCGAAAGTTACAGTCACAAAATAAAGAAAACTCAAAGGGATTGCGATCCGGCTGTCTAGTCATCTTTGCGTCTTTTCGTCGCTCCGCTTGAAGCTTTCTCTTGTCTAACGAGCCCGGATTACGACGATCGTAAAGCTCAAGGGCTGAGTGACTGTCTCGCGGTGAGAAGTGGACGTTTATCAGGCATCGTTCGGCAGCGCGGATATTAAACGATACTCGTTGCACTTTTGTGTGCAATCGCGAAGAAGGGCGTTGTATTCGTTGCGACCGCGATTGCGCCCTTCACTTCCTCCCATTGCGTTTACGATCGACGGAGATGGTTTCATCCCGAGCTTTTCACGGGAGGCTCCGGTCCCCCCTCTCTCTCTCTCTCTCTCGCTCGATTTCTCTCTTTCTCTCTCGGCGACACAATGAGCTTTTGTTTCCATTGAAAACGACATCGCCGTGTCTCGCTCAAGATATTAATCGGGGGCGAAACTCCGCTGCGGATCAAGCGGTATTATGACGGCCTTTTGTGCGTGTGTGTGAGTGCACGCGCGTTGGAGTGTGGAAGAGACCGCGAGCTGATTGAATCGTAAATTACCCCGCGGCGAATTATTCATGGCGCGCTTTCGTTTCGCTAGGGCGCGTAATAATCCAGCCGCGTTTTGCAACGCGTCAATTTTTAATACCGTCTCGGCTTTCCTCGCGCAAGATTTGTCACCGCGGCGCGGCCTGCGCGCGTGTGTATCCACGGGACCATTAATTATGAACGCCTGCCGTGGCATTATTTATCGAAGTCTCCATATAGTCGCGAAACGCTGAACGGCAAAAGCCATCGGGCAAAATGGATTGGTTTTGCCAAACGATATGGATGATCTCTTTCATCCCGACGCTACAGGCCACGCGAGACGCACGACGACGTCCGATGATTCGCCCGTAGCTGTCAATATTTATGAGACACGTCACGGTCTCACCGTAATTAACTGTCTTGTCGTTTTATTTGCAGGAGGGATCTCGCGGTGACCGGAAAGAGGGGGGCAAAAGGGGACGCAAGCCTGGAAGGAAGGCGGCGGACAAGGCCGATATGAAAGCTAAGCTCGGTAAGTGTATAGCTCGACGTGAACGAGCAGCTACGACATAACAGGTGTATTTGTCGACATCCCAGGCACAACTGCTCGAACATTCTGTTTTCGCCGCCGTTTCGCACGTAACTGAGTGATTTTTTTCGCTGTTGGCTTGTTTGTGTTCCAGAAGAAGAGGTTCACTAAAATTGCAACATAATTATTTTGCAATATGCACGCGGCTCACGCATAATTTATTCGTGAACACCAATTGTATTAGCTCCAAGAGATTATTCCTGCATTAATTATAACATTTCAATATGTTTAGATACACGCGTATTATAATTATAACTTATTAATTATGATCACTTAATGATTATAATCAATAATTATTAATCCGATTGCATTTTGCTCCATTTCTGTTGTCCGATGCGTTAATTGGCTGCTGCCATATAGAGAACGCAATAAATTATGGCTTATCGATTTTGCTCGGGCTAATTATAATTGGAAATTTTTGTTAATGTCACATGCTGTATAAGCGCGCGCCGTTTTAGGTCTTGAATAGAATTATTCTCTCTGCGAATTATCGTCACCGCGAGAAAAACGTATCTCGCGCGGAATCCTCGAGCGCTTGTTAAAGGAGGAAAGACGAGACTCGTAAAAATAATAACTCCGGCGGGTATCGGTCAATGACAGAGCTTATCTGTTCGGCGACAAGCCCGACTTGGCACCGCGCCGCGATCTGAAATCCAACGTGTAAAAAGCCGCGTGCAATAAAAAGATATCATTCCCGTCGTAAGACGCGCGGGCTGTCTAATGGCCGAGACACGGCGGATACGATTCACCGTTCTCCTGTACGCACGCACTCCTCGACGGTGCCGCTTGATTAAAGTGCTTAATAGCGGTAGCGATAACGCGCCGTCGTTGTCGCCGGGAGGTCGCGTAACGTCGTGTCGATGCCATTTGAAAACGCGAATCCGGCACACGCTGTGGCAATGCTTATCCCTTTGACGAATGAATATTTATGCGCGGCTTATCCCACGACGGCGATCGTCCTCCGTCGTTTCTCGACGAGCCGGAGGATTACCGTCGCGGTGCCGACGATGTACTACTCTAACACGGCGTTCAGCTATTTTGCAATTCCGCCGTTTTGCAGTCGCATGGGGCTCGGGAGCGGTACAAAGGCGAGAGAGCGGAAAGGAGAAGGTGGAATTGGCGGAGGAGATGGGTGAAACTAACTCGCCCTGCCGCCGCTGATGCTGTGCCGCTTGGCTGTTGCACAGACCGCAGCGAGTAATTTCGCGGGGTTATTTCTGGAACGCGTGGTCCTCATTCGGGAACAGGAAACTTTATAATCGCACCTCTCTCTCTCGCGCGCGCGCGCGCTATTTTGCTCCCTCCGTCTCTCTCTCTCCTGCCATCCGGTTCTTTCCGATCTCCGTCAGCGCATCGTGCAATCTATAGGGCATTTTTTCCCCCGGAATCACCTGACTTGTTTCCGGCTACAAATAATTCGCAGCCGATGTTTTCCTCGGCGGGAACTTTCGGCTGGTAACCATTATCCGCGGTAATCTTTTGATACGCGCGTGTTGAAGTTTAAATTATATTTCTATTAAGATCCAGAGAGAAACGGTGTTAATTGAAACACTAGACTCTGTTATCTACACCTAATAGTTCGGTAATGTCGAGACTTGAATTCTCGTCATCGAATAACTCGCCGTAGCTGTCGACGTCTCGCTGTTAAAACAACCTCATTTTCCTTAGCTCGCGCCTCGGTCGTGGTTTTAAAAGGACATCCGTTGGATTCGCGACACCCTACGTGCCAACGGAAATTGTGCGCGCGGCACTTCCCGGCACCGTTCTTGCGCGTTCAGTTTACGCGCGAGCAAGCGAACGAACTCGAAGGCTCCATTTTATTCCGTATACATGACCGAGGGAGCTGGTTTTATTTAAACCCGTTCAGAGTGCCTCGATTCGGTCCAGATGTCGGCCGTCACAACGAGATCCCAAATGGAGCCACAAATTGACTCTGCGAGAACGCTTAATTTCCGCGGCGCGCTGGTATCGATTTCCTAGATGCGGCGCGACGCGACTCCACGCCGATCGCGCGCGTCAGCTCCAATCGACGTCGACGAATCTCTTTCCGATAAAATTCACGGAAGGTCGCACCGATCGACAATCGGCCACGGGTCGCTAAAATTCGCCTGTCCCTTAAAAATCCGCAATGAGACGCTTGACGTTTATAGCCGCGTAAAAGGCGGGCCCGATGAGCCATGAACGACAGCGTGCGCGGAAATTTATTGTATCTCGCGCGACTTTCCGGGAAAGAGGAAGAAATTTGCCGTTTCAACATACAATTAACAATCTTAAAACTTCGGACATTCCCCTCCGACCGTAGGACAGTATAGACGTTGAACTTACGGTTCCACGCAGCCCCGTAATCAGCGAACTCGCGAATGTCGGCGATCTCGTCGTCGGAATGTGCGAGGATCTTAGAACGCGGGAATCGCGGGATTGAAAATCTGAGAATTCAGTGTCCGAGAGAATCGCATAGTACAAGTCGTGTGGAAATCGATGCACCGATAAAAATTTAGAACCTCGCATCCGAAAATTCGGAGCTTTCTGATCCTCACGATCTGGAATTGTACCGTTTCACGACTTCCAATCTCACTTTTTTGTCGCATTCGCTTGAATTCGCTCGAGTTTGCGCGCGTGCAAAACGTTTATTCGGCGGCCCCTATATCCGAACAAAACTATACTTTATCGTGAACGTCGACCGTGCGAAAGTTTCTGCTTTTCGGTCGCATATGCCGCGGCATTACCATGCGTCTTGCCGCGTTCCATGCGACATTATTAAATCGTGAATTCTTGTAGACCGGTGATATATGTCCGCCACTTGGCTTGCCATTATGTGTCACAACCTGACGCCGAAAACCAGAGAAATTTATGCTCGACGCGAATTCGGTCGAAACTTTAGCCGGGCGTCGCCGCAGCTTTCGCGTTCGCGAGGGATCGACTCATCGGTCGCTTTGCATGTATCGATTTCTTGCACTAATGTGAATTCGTGTCTCTTCACCTTCGCGGGTTTGCTGTTTCTGTTGCAGAACGAAGCCGGCAGAGTGCGAGGGAGTGCCGTGCTCGAAAGAAGCTGAGATATCAGTACCTGGAGGAGCTCGTAGCCGATAGAGAGAAGGCGGTACTCGCTTTGCGGAAGGAGCTCGAAATGGTGAGTTGTATTCTTAAACCTTTTCATAAACAAATGAACGAGAATTGGAGAATTCTCCGGGTGAGAGAAGCTGGGATATTCTCTGAGAAAAATTCGTCAGCGAGAATGACTTGATAACATTGTGAGTATCGAGTACTGAAATGAACATGTTAACAATAAATTTTACTCGCACCGATAGCTTTATTGAAAGAACTAGTTGCATCTTGAATAAGGTTTGATAAATCTGTCGAAAGCTGGCAAATCTCGCAACTTCCTCTTTTTCACCACCCTTCTCACTGCCTTCTTAAACCTTCTCCTCGAAGCGCAAATCAAGTCACTTACGATGGTGCAACGTTCTGGCGGAGTACAAAGGATCGCTCTTTGCCAATACGATTAGGAATATTCGCGTCTATGTTACTTCTATCGAAAGAGAAATATTCATATTTGTTAGAACATTCCTTATGGTCGTTCAATAGTGATTTCGTTCTCTTCATAGAGAAATCTTTTCATAGAGAATATATATTTTCGCAAATAATTTCACACGAAAATCCTGGCGTTGTACTATTTTTCTTTTTTAATGGAATTCGAACGATAGGTTAGATCGACGAAGGATATTTGGTCTCGCTCGTACAATGTTCGAAGAGCTAAGAAGTCGTATTATTTGTCTGTTGACTATCGATTGGCTGCGCGTTCATTTCTCCCCGTTGCACGAAAAAAACTTGCTTGTTAACGAAGTGCTCTGAAAATATTTGACATCAATAGCCGGTAGTAGAAGCTGTCGTTTCGCCGGTGGAAGTTCTTATATATCGACGAAGTGCCACGGGTTCGCGAAGAAGAGTGGACGAAAGAATTCCGGCAAGAAGCGCTCCTCCCGCGTCCACGAAAGTTCTTTCCAAATCCATCCGATTCCTCCTCCCTCCATGGGTCCAGCCACGACGACTTACATCCACGACGAACAAGATCCGGCCGAAGCGGAACGCGCGTCCTTTACCGCCATTTGTTATTTTTCTGCAGTATCGTCAGTGGGGACACGAATTGGATGCTGGACGATTCCCCGAAGGACTGCAAGCGATGTTGGAGGAACAGGGCGCGCTGAAGCGGGAGGATTCCGGCAACTAAGCGGTGGGAAACGTGGAATAAGGAAGTCACGCGGATCACGCCGTTTCATTTATCTTGCTCCGCGATCGAACCTCCTTCCCCCCTCTCCCTGCAGTCTCGTAGTCCGGCTTATGTTCCATCTTTTCTCGTCTTCTCTCTTTCCTTGTCACATAGTGTTCTTTCAAAGACGAATATTCGACTGTCGAATACTGAACTCGCCATTTCCTTCACCTCACGTCACGCAATCAGACTCGATCTCTCTCGTAAAAACAGCAAAGATAGGATCGTCTACCATTTTTTCGAGGATATTTCTCTATTTGCATATACCATTAGTAATCGTTATCTCATACGTTAGAATTTTTTTGTACGTGCGTTTTGTTATCGCGAGTCGTTACGTTGATCTAGATTTTTTTATAGTCGTTGGTTGAGAAGAACCACGGTGGGTTGGAGCAATCGCATCGGTTAATTAACCGGTCAGTAGGTTAATCTGATAGCTGTCTCATACGGCTCGATACGTTGTACCTCCATTGCACGATTGTTACGGTGCAAGAAAGTAAGCTATATATATATGTGTGTATATATATCACTGTTATACACCTCGAAAGGAAGAGCGATCGTTGTATATCATAGAGTCTATATTCAGTATTGTCTGTTCGAAAAGCGTCGTTGCGGGAGCTTCTCGTTGACCGTTTGCCGATTCGTTTCAAATTTACCGACACACGGTACTCTCCTATAGAGTAGAGGAATCAACGTTTTGTACGAATTATTATCTCTGGGATAGTTTATTCGTACATGTGTACAAAATAGTCGAATATAAAACCGATATTTTTTGATGAACATTAGATTACTGTCGCTTATCTCGTATCTCTTTTCCTCTCTTTCACTTTCTCTTTTTCCCCAGTTTCTCCATTCAAGAATGTTGCGAAATGCTTCCGGAAAAAATCCGTCGTTCGAATATACAATAATTGCGCTATAGAAACGTAAGAAGCGCTCTTTGCAATCGGACGGAAACGCGATGTTTGTTGGGTCGCGTTAAAGACACGCGCATCCGCCGGCGTTACTTCGCGTTTCGGCCGTTGCGATTTCGTGCCGTACTTTTGCGGAATGAGAATTTGCATATTTTGACGTGAAATATGTCAGGGCTATGAAATCTCCGCTCCGATTTACGTAGATTGCGACGCATTCACCGACGATAGCGTCCCCTGCGTTTATTCGGCATCACCCGGCAGTTCGGTGAAAAGAGGGAAAAAAATTGGTAGATCTGATATCGTCGTTATACGATTGCGCTGGGAAATTTCAAACGAATTTTGTTACGCGATTTAGCCCAGAGCTTTTAATCAGCTCGAACAATAACGGGCAAGCTTAACGTAATAATAATCGCGACGATAACAATGTTATAAAACTAGTGGCATCGACCCGAGTTAAATGCTACAAATAAGAGGATAATTCGCTTCAGTAATTTAAGTATATTTTCTAGCTTTTCCTTTTAATCTTTGAGCGAATTGATGTTTTCATCGCCTGGCAATCGGAAGGTAAGTGAGTATCACAGGTCGATTTAGTCGTCAAAAAGGTCGAATATTTAGCTTTTCGTCGCCATTTCACATTGCAGGTATAACCGGAGGTTTATGTTTGCTCCGGATTTTTATATTTCCTATTTTTCGAAAGTTCATCATTCACACGGACGAAACGGCAGATAATGCAAAAAATGTGAGGATTAAATACGCGTATATGGCTCGCGAATAGAATTTTTGCCAAATACATTGCCCATAAATCACCACCTCACAGCGATGCAGGCGAAATCAGACTTTATACTTTCCTATTAAGAAGGAAATATCGATTTCTCCTCGTCTGTATCGCGCGAATGCACAGCTCTGTAAGAAAATCCTGTTAGCGTATAAAGCGCAAGTTAACAAAAAAAAAGGGAAAACGAAAATACATCGTTTTTCTCGCCACAGGTACAATAAATCAGCGTGTTAGGCGGAGTGTAAAGTTGAAATATTGCCTCGTAAATATCAAATTGTACTAAAGTGCTGGCTAAAGAACCAAATGTCTCGTATTATTATTAAGTTCGTTGTGCGGTACACGGTGTATTCTCTGGCACGACAGCATTAGTTGAGCCAGCTTTTCGAGGTGATGTATTTTCAGGTGCGGAATAAAAATTTATTCATTGCATCGATGATTCACTTTAAGAGTTTAAAAACACAAGTCGAAATTTTTGTTCTTTATTAACCTTGCAAATTATGTCAAACTTAAAGAACCAATGGAGAATCTCGAAATATAACATTATATCATCTATTTTTACCTTGTTATTACAAATGATTACTGCCATTTTGTCTATATTGGGTCTAAAGAAAGACTTATTAAAGAGTTATTTAATATTCGGTATTTTACCTCAATATTTGATCTGCATTTATCCTTCAATCTTAATTTCAATATATTTTAATTATGTATAACTTGCTTAACTACAAATGTATGAGGTAAGCGAATATCAAACAGTTAGTATGAGCAGATTATAGAATTGTAGCCCAAAGAACATTAATAGATGTAAAAAATAGCAATTGCGAGATTTAAATTAGATTTTAAGACGGATATTCATAAATCCTGGACTAAATTCCGATTCTGGTATTTTTCGCGATAAATTCATTAAGCGATTTATTAAAATCGCGAATATCATGTGCAATCGATGAATTCACGTACCTGGAAATATACGTGTATCGTTGCCCGCGTTTCCTGCGTTCCTCCGTCCTTACTTTTCAGTCCAGAATTCTGCCTCCCGCTGTTCTGTCGTGGCACTGACACTGAGGCTGATATTGTCACTAACATTCGCGTAGGTACGACGATTCTATCGGAGAAACGTATGTTAATTAACGCGATGCCGACGAGATCCTGATTGAGTAGCTGGCGAAATATTTTAATTATTCGACCGAAATTGTAAATATATATAACGCAACGTGAAACACGTGTTCTGCGTCGCGGTATTCACAACGCTCGTTGGCGCAAGTCTTAGTAATTCGAATATGAATAAATACGTGATTCGTAAATATATTAAAACAATGGGTGAAAAGGGCTACGTCATCTCTTGTCGATCGTCAGTCGGTCGCTGTCTGACATTAAACGGTCGAGATATCAAAACAAAATATACCGGACCTGCAAAGTGGTCAAATTTACTTTCGTACGTCATGGGCTATCTCAAATATTTTCATTACGTTCCGAGCTGGCGAGCATATCACGTACTGCAAACGTGCGAGTATCAGTGCGATATTTATTATTCCTGTCGAGTAATTAAAATATTACATCGTTCTTAAAATATATAATCGCTGTCTCTCTTATCGGCATCGCGTCCTTACGATCGAATTGTCATAAATACATGGATGTCAGTGTCCAGATGCCACGACAGAATAGCCAGAAGAGAGGATGTTATGTCGGGAAGTCAGGATGGAGGATGTGAGATATCGGCGACGTGAATCGCGATATATCGTATCATCGATATATCTATCTTTCAAATATGTCAAATTATATATTATATATTATCACAAGTCTATTCGATTTTAACGGACCTGTGATGAATTTATCGAAAATGAAGCGATATCCGAGTCGAAATTTAGGTCGGAATTCATAGTCAGTCATCATTTCACAAATTATAGCTTGATAATTATTAATTGCATGAATTTTGAATTATTCGTCAACCTATATATATTATTATTTGCACATCATACAACAAAAAGTATTATACCAATCAAATATGGGTCTATAAATATAAATTTGTAATTAATTATGGTCTCATTTTAATCAGAAATTTTAAAGAATTTGCAATTATGAATTCCGGCTTTGTGCAACTTAGTGTAAATTTCGCGATTGCTATTTCCTGTGTCTAATATTATCTTTTGGGCTGCGAATACGATTTTTTTTTCTGCCTACCACTGTGTTAACACTTTCTGTTTAGTCTTGTTATAGTTATTTCACTTTGGTTTAGTCTGGTTATTGTACGTAATTCTCATATTTAAATCTCCATTCGTAAATATTATTAGGCACACAATGGTTATCTTGGTCTTTATAGCTTCTTCCTTATCAGTTCTTTCAGGAATTCTTTTTTCATCTTCTTTGAAATTCCATTAAGACTTCCAATGTAAAAAAAGAAAGATTATGAGAATAAAAATCTGTTGCTATTGCTTTTACCTATTCACAAATTTCTTATAATCTATTAAATTATATAATATTTATTTATTTCACATACTTTATTTGTGCAACTTAGTAAGTTATATTTAATAATATTACTAAGACTGAAGTCAAGAACAAAGATTAAATGCAGGTGGAAAATATTGAAATAATTGAATATTAAATAATTTTAAAACAAGTCAACATTAGAATTCAACCGGAGGAAACAACACTAGGCAACCGTTTGTATCAAGGTAGGACAAAAGCTTGTATAATGTAACATTACAGTACTCTTTATTGGCCCTTCGAGTTTGACAGAATTTGCAGAGTTAATGTAGAATTACAATTTCGACTCTGGAATTAACTACTGAAGATATCTAAATTGGTTTTCCTTTATATTCTACCAAACTGCACATCGGCGTGTGTTATCATGCATATAACTCGTTAAATAATTAGACACACGAGCGTCTGCTTTATCGCTAAGTCCCTTACACCTCGTGTGCCGAGTTGAAAACAACGTAAGATCTTTCTCGCGTTGGACGTTGTAATTGCCACGTGTTTTCCGCATTGTTTCCGACAGATCTCATTTGAAGCTCGTTCGACCTCTCGTAGAGATGCCCTGCGAGGAGCATTAGTGGCACTTGCGTAGGTCGTAAAAGTACGGTAGCGCATGTGCGCACGTGCACGCGTCTCTCTCTCTCTCTCTCTCTTTCACGCCGGTGGATAACGACACGCAATTCCGCGCGTCATAAACCGCGGACATTCAATTCCGTTGCCGCGGAAAACGCGCGAACGAACGAACGAACGAACGTACGAACGTACGAGCGGACGGACGCGTCGGGTGCAGAGTTCATAAAATGTAGTGTTGCGGCGTGAAAAAACGGCGACTACGACTGGGGACGCGGAAATAAGGAGAAAAAATATGGCCAGTCAGCGGACCGAGGAAATACTTGTGGCCTCCGCGTTCTTTCTCTCCTTCTCTCTTTCTCCCTTTCTCTGTCTCTATCCCCGTTCTCGTGTCACTCGTAATTTATTCGATGGCCATGCTCAAAAATGTTTTCAGACCGGTGTCTCTCGTTCCGCGGTCGTAACATAACAAGGAGCCGCGAGGTGGTCCGTGTACTTTGCACTTTGCAGCTGCAACGTGTCCCGCAACTCGCGCGACCTTAATTCTAACGACACATTCTTCCCGACGAATTCGGGGTCGATTTTTCGTTGGCGAAAGTGTCGAGTCCTTAATAGTTTCTGAGCGATTAAAGCGATGAAATAAATTTCTTTCTTAACGGACCTGGGGATCCTCGCAGTCGCCGAAGCGAGGCGCCGGGAAGCGTAACGAAATTTATGGCACTTGCTGAGGGCGCAGAATTAGTGACCACGCAGTAACGTCATAACGCGACAATATAGTTAGCCGAATTCTGCCTTGGAGTATTTTTAGAAACGACGATTTTGCCAATTCATCGATATATCTGTACCATTAAAGAAATTGTGGTCGACATGTAGCCGATGAAGCGGTAAAAGGAGGAATAAGTAAACGAAAGCTATTTTCCGGGGCGAGCGACGCGCAAAGCCCGAGAACGTGAGCTGAGAAACGACAAATAACTCCATCTCCGCGTCTCACCGCCTCTTCTTTCTTTCTTTTTTTTGCTTTACTCGCTCGAAGAAATGCGCCTTCAAGAGGATGATACCTGCGGGTATTGTCGCGTCGCTGCTGTTATTCCAGATGATATTACGCGTAAGCAGATCACGACATTCAATCTATGACGTTCCGTCTGTACGTCGTGCTTCCGCGAGAATATTTTACGAACGGAGCATGAATTTGCAGTAAAAACATTTCTCCGTATCGCAAAATTTGAATCGCGCCCACACGGAGAACCAAAGTTTTCGCCGTAATTTAAAATAAAAAGGAAGGGATTATTTTTGAAACGAGAAGATAAAAAAATAGCCTAAAGGGATTAATATTGATTCGTTAACTCGCGAGCTCGCGAGCTTGAATGAATATCCATGAAATTACAGCTTATTCTTCCTCGAGCGATAACATCTTTTTTTCTATGTATTCGCGCGCGCGCCTAATATTTACAAAAATCTCGCGCAAAATGTTTGTTCCATAGCGAGAAAATTTTATCTAAAAATTCTAGATATACCATTTCTCGATGTCGGAAAAATCAAGATGTGTCAATGGCGTGTCTCGCGCGTGCCTATCTTCGCATACCGTGAAAAATTGACGCTCCCAGAGATGTAGCCAAGCATCAATCTCGTGGAAGATACATTTTTAGGTTGAATTTATTTTATGTGAATATATTGCCGGTGGGTAAAAGGTTTTTTTAATATTAAGTAAACAAGCTTGTTTGCATTCGACGTATTGCCGTCGTTCCTGAAAATTACGTTTCACATGGTGTGTTATTTTGCGCTGTTTAAAGACATAAATATTGCATGCGAGTACTTGCAACGGAGAAGCACGTTCGTCACCATTTATGAAATATATGCTCGCACGAATTATGCATGGCATTTATGTATAGGTTTACGAGAAAAATCCTGCTATTTTTCCTTATATATGAAGCTTTATATCACAAAAATGCTTTTCCTTCTCAATTTTCTTTTTTTTTTTACAATAATCAAGCGTGACATAATAATGCGTATCGATGTCACATACGAAGTTTCATCGTGCGAATAACAAAGGCTATGTTGAATAATGAAACCGGTTATTCACGAAATATTTCATAAAGCGTAATGCGCTAAATCTTACAAACATATTTTTCCTAAGCCTGGTGTCGATCTCTTGCCTATGAAAATTTAAAACGATACATAATGACGCACGTATATTTAACAACGAGAATTTATCGTATCAGCAAAACAAACTACTCTGAAAATATATATTTATTTCATAAAAAGATGATGTTTTTCGCATAATTCAAAGAAACATATTGACAATTCTTCATTTTCGTTAATTTACACATGGAATCATGTTGAAAAAAAAAGAAAGTTACGAACAAAAACGAGTTGAATCATAGATCGAGCTGTAAAACAGGTTCCTCGTTCCTAATTTTTAGGAGATCAAGCGAGCGTTCATTTTTTGCTTTATGGCATAGCTACGTATGGACCATGAAAGGCTCAACTTTTACGATAGGCTGAGTAAGATCAAGTCGAGGGTACTTGCGTTGATTCAATCGCGTTACGATATAATATTCACGAGGGCGGTTCTCGCGTCTCTACTCGTCTTATTGCTCACGATAACCACCGGCGGTAGCGTACGCTGCAGGACGCAGGCTCTCTCTCGGCAGGGGCCGAGGGCAATCAAGGTTTACGATTGACCGAATCGTAAACCTGCCTCCACCGCGACGAGGAGTACGATTCTTGATCGTATAAGCCGAATCTCGAATCCGCGCGTTGGCCAAATTCCGTACAAATGCGACATTAATTCCGTCGCTGGCTCGCAGAGCCGCCGCCGGTTCTCCGATATCTCTTGATGCCACCTCGAGGCGCTGTGCCCAGACTCTGCGGAGAGAGATTCATATTTGTGTCGCTCGAAGTCGGAAATTTCTGGGGAGATATACTTGATCCACCTCAGCAAGAGAGACTTGGCTCATCTTAGTTCACCTTAGGCGCTCTCCGCGTGCTTAACAGTTTCAAACAGAGTAGATCGGTTAACCAGTGAAACTATTGTGTAACAAATAGTATTAGATCCATAATTCTGATAATAAGTTTACATTTCTCCACGTGAAAATTTACGCGCGAACTCGAGAGCTCGTTTCTCTTGTAAGTATCACGACGGATAAATTCGCGCGAAGAAAAACCGGACGTTCTTCGAATGATGCGGCGCCGCCGTCATTTCTTCCCGAATAATTGTTCTGTTTATTTCTGTATTATTTATTAAATGTATACTAAGCTACTTACTGATTTCTAGAAGAAATTCTTATTTTCACGAGTTTGTTTTCGTTAGGTGTAATAATTCAAGCGTGACAAGTAAAACGATGCATCGCGCGCATATCTCTCTCTCTCTCTCTCTCTTTCCCTCTTTTTTCTCTCCAGCTCTTTCTTCCCAGGCAGGCTGTGGCTAGAACGTTTTCCTAACTTTAAGAGCTCTTTTTGTTCCATGGCCAACGTTCACGCGCCGTGCGCATTCGGGAATATCGTCCGCGAACTTTTTGCAAATCCAACAAATTCCGTCGCGCACGCCCCAGAAGAAACGCGAGCGGTTCTCCGGGAGAGTAACGCCGTCAGGCGTTTCTTAAAACGGCCGCGAGGTATAACTCGTCGGTTTCATATTATACGTTCCGGGCCGTATTAAGGGGTGAAATTTATAGGTCGAGTTTCCACGGTAAACTTAGCCGATATCTTGCCGGGAGGCGAAACAAAGAGTGGCTCTCAGAGATGGGCCGCCGGCACCTCCGGAGACCTTCTCTCGCGGCCTCTTCGTTTCCGCCGTCTTTCGCACCCCGTCTTCGTTCTTTATTCGTGGCTAGTTTCCCTTTCGTTTTTATTTTTCCACCCGCCTTCGCCGTCCGTGTTTCCTCCGTCGCGTTTCTGCGGCGGAGTGTCAGCTGAACGACAGCGGGAGAAAAAGCTGAAAGCTGCAGCCCAGACGATGGGAGACCGTTGCGAGGTGAACGACGAGGGGTGGGTGCGCGGCTGGCAGTCGAGCGCGAGTGAGAGAAGGTGGAGGTGAGGATCGTAACGGCGCGAGATAGACGTCGGAAGACGGGGAAAAAAGCAGTCGGTTCCGAGGGACGGTCGAGGGCCGCGCGTAGAAACTAGCCGGTCCCATTCAACCCCACGAGTCGACGAAGGAAAGAAGCTTAAATGGTTTTTCCATGGCCGAATCCGGGTCTAAACGTGTCGAAACTTTTTAACGAGCTCGTTAGGGTTCCGCGAATGGGCGGAGAAATTAATTATCGTTGAAAGGGCCGTCCGCCCGCTCATCTATACGGACATACGATGCTCTCGCTCTTTCCTAACTTCCTCGTCGTTCCCACTCGATGGCTGCACATTCGCACGTGAGTTTGGTCCGTCGACGTTTTTTGTATTTCCGCCTGAAAAACGTAAATTATAGCGAGGATTTTCCTCTTGCCGTTTGAATAAGTTAAGCTCATTGATGAAGTGACGTTCGAGCTTGGAATAACACGTTCTCGTACAAAAGTATAAACTACTGACATATTGCGAATTTCACCTCTTTTCGGATGTAATTTTCCCTTTTATGAAGATCAATCTTAACGCTCTCCGGTCTGCCATTTACTTTGATTTCTCATACGTTGATTTATAACGGCATCCTCCGACTCATAATTGCCGTGAATATTTTTCGTCGTGTAAATATTCATGCTTATATTAACGATAATATCTAAGGGCAGGATGGAAATAAATGAGAACTCGCTCGCTTTTGCAACGACGGCATTCGACTTGCCGTAGATTTATTTTAGATACCAGTAACTTTCGAAACCTTATGAGATATTAGTTACGAGGCTCGCGTTTCGTCGATCCTATTCTGCTCGCACGAGAATGGTCGCTAGATCGATCGGACGTGCGATCGGTTTGATTAACTCTCTACTGCATAGTGCTGCGTTTGTAACAATGCGAATAAACAAAATCCGACGTCTACAGTTTTGTGCAGTTTCATGGCGCGTACCTGCGTACCACGAAGTGTAATATCGCCCGATTAGAATACACGCAACTGAATTTCCATTCTTCATCCCGGATGAAAACGTACGCGAATATTTCTGACGCTTGATGTATCAACGTTGGTGTATCACTCGTTGAGTGATTTACGTTGAATTAAACAGCCGCTCAATAGAGAGTTATTAACGACCATATCGTCGTGGCACGAGGGAAGTCGATGCATTCGTTCGAGTGCTCCGATGCTTTTCACCGGTTTGCTCTTCGCTATGATAAAATTTTGGTGCAAAACGGTCCGCCTGCGCAGGACTGCGCGAGACGAAAAATCTCGCGACTCTTTCCTCTCTCTCTCTCTTTCTCTTCTTTCCCTTTTTTTTCAGAATCGTACGCGGCGGCGAATTGTGGCGTAACCACGGTATAGAATTAAAAAAACCATCGTTGAATTTGATATACGCCGACGTAATATGTATCGACGTTCAACTTCGATCGTGCAAAATCGTAGGAAAGGCTTACACACAAGTATCGAGCGACATGATTATCGACTTGGTCGACGGTGTGTCCCAGTCGCTTCGCGATTAGCCTCGTTCGTAGCTCCTCGTAGATCGCGTCGTTGGTCAAGCCTACCATCTCGAATCGCAGCCGGCGAGATTAAAGGGAGGATCAGTCCTCACAAAACCGCGAGTGTATCGCTCGACAACAGCGAGCTGGAATATCGAAATATTTCGCCTACCCGTCGCGCGACACGACTTTGTGTCGGGGTAGCTTAAAAGGAATCGAGGACACTCGGGTTGACCTGGCTCTTCGATCCAACATGGTCGGCTTGACGTGCTGGAGGAATAATATGTTTTTTCGTTTTTTTTTCGACTTCAGGTACCGTATGTACAAGTTGTGTAGTCATTTGCGCACACACATACACACGCACGTCGCGTCACTCACTCTCTTCTTTTTCTCTCTCTCTCTCTCTCTTTCTCTCTCGTTCCTTCTTTCGTACGGTTTTACATTCGCAAACGATCGTCCATTCGCACTCGAGTAATCGCCCATATTTCGTCGCACGTGTTCAGTGTCGCGATGTATACATAATATAATTATTGACTAGGACAGTGTTTTTGGTTCCAGCTTCGACGAGGAAATCGCTGAGTACAAATTTAACATCGAGTATGCCCGTGGCTAAATCGTTAAACATTTATACAAACGCGTTGGTCTTCGTATCGCAGTGATAATGTGCGTTCGTCGCCTCGTTGTCGTGCCGTTGTCGGTTTCTATGTTCCGTTCTTACCTTTCGGCCAGCATCGGCAGCTCGATCGAGCCGGCTGTTTCTTTTGTCAACGATGCACACGAGGCACGCGCTCTTTCGTTCAACCATCGCACGACGGGGTGTACGTATCAGTACCGCAACACTACAATCGGACGACCGTACGCCGCAGTGATTCTCGACGATCGTTTTACAGTCGCGTAATTCCTTTGTTCCTAACTGGCTGCGAATAAAGGCCGTTGTGCGTTTCGTTTGATATAAGTAGATAACGAATTAATTAAAACGAGGCAGTGGTGAAAAGGCTGTATTCCCGTTACCGCCAAATGGGACTCTCGCAAGTTGACCGCGCCACCGAGCGCGTAACATAATTTTGCATGTATTCGTCGCTCGACTATTTGATTTTCTAGGGTAAGTTGATAAATTATACAATAGCTTGACAATGGCGGGTTGGAGTAATCGATAGCGCTACAATAGTAATGCCCGCGCTAGTTTCAAATTAATAGACCGTTGCTTCATTAATACGCAGCATACCGTTATTATTGGGAATAATCGATTAAGCTGCGTACGGTTATTAAATGTAATAAAGATCGAAGAGTCGCGGACGCGGAACGAATCGATCGACAGGTGGATCGAGTTGTGAAACGCGCAAATTCAAAACCGATTCGCGTTTAAATGAATTTTTATTCGACACACTGGCGAGTTCAGGCGCGTTATTAATAATCGACGATAACGATTGGTTACGACGATCAGTAATTACAAAGATCTTTTGTATTTTCTTTTTATTGTTTAGACGCGGACAGAGCGGATCATCGACGCGCAAGCGAAGTCGCGCGATTCGAGAATTAGATTCTGATTATTTCCCGGGCGTGATTAGCGATACGTGTTTGTTCCAGCTGCAATTTTTGCCGGAAGCTTCGTACCTCCGGTCGCGGTACTGACGTGCCACTGGCCGTCTCGCTCGATATCCTTCGCGAGCACTCGCATCTCTCGCAGCTTCGGTATCTCTGGCGGAAATCGAGTTTACCTACCTACTTACGTACAAAGATGAGAATCGTGGATAACGTCGAGTAGGATCGAAAGGAGTGAGAGTGAGAGAGAGAGAGAGAGAGAGAGAGTGTGTGTGAAAGTGAGGGTAGGGGAGGAACAGAGTAGTATGTGTACATGTATTTATATGTGTACGTGTGTATTCGTTTTTGTGTGTAAGTGCGTGTGTATGTGTGTGTGTGCGGACACAGAGCCGTCCCTGGGAGATGCGAGCGGTCGCGAACTTGGGGTAAAGTTGTAAAGGGTGAGTTTTACTCCCGCTGGGGCAGTGATCTTATTCCTTCCTCTCGATCGCTTCGTTCTCTCTGTTTCCGCTTCGATCGCCATCGTCGTGCTTGCGTTCCGTTCGTTTCTTCGTCCCTTCGCCAAAAGAGGATTCTGACGGTTTAAGGCGCCATCGGGCGCTTTATGGTGTAACGGCAGTAATCGCGACCGATTATGTCCTCGTGCGGGATCTCCTCCTCCAGGGGCTCCATACCCTCCGCGGCCATGCTGTCGCGAATCTGCACAGACACATATAACGAGAGAGGGAGAGTTGCGATGTAGTAAATTGCTGAGTTACTGACTGTTAAAGTGTGGCTTACGGATGATTTATACGCTTAGCCGCTTGGTACGCGCCGTATCGACTACGATCGAACGCTGAGCGCTCGTGGAACAATCGTATCAACCATAGTTTACATTCGCCGATCACTCATCGTAATCTCCGCGCGTACATCTGTAAATTCGCCGTGAGAGGGTCGATGATCCACGACGCGCTCGTTGATTATGGTCTACTCGAAGTGTAAAAGAGGAACACTAACACTATTAAATGTATCCTTGCGTTTTTGGAAATGTTTAATTTTCCCCGGGATTCCCTCGTTCTCTCATTTTTGACTTTTAAAATCTCGAGAGTATCGGCTGCTTTTAATTACATATAAATATTTTTTTACGAAATTAAATTAAATTAAATTAAATTAAATTTAAATTAATTAAATCAATTAAATTACTTGAATTGCTTAAATTAATTAAATTAATTAAATTAACATAATTAAATTACTGTAACAGCCAGCTGTTCCGACAATGCCCCTACATTAGGGGATATGAGAGGTTTCGAAAGAGGTTCACACCGTGAATATTAAATTGCTCTCGGAAGCGATTTAATCGAAATATTTGCATGCGCGAAGGAGGAGCCAGCGTTCGTCATTTTTCTCGGGTGCATTCCGGCGGCGTGCTCTAAAAAAAGGTCAATGAATTTGGCGGCGCGTCGCGCCACGCCGCACTACGTCTCTCTCCCGAGGCATAGCTTCTGAGGGCATGGCGAAGATGGAAGACCGCGCACGTCGCAAATGTTCTCAGGAAAAATCGCGCCCGGCGATTGCCGTTGTAGTAGTAGCAGAGAAAATAAAAAGGATGTTCGCGCTCGCGCGCGCGCGGGATGGGCAACGATGAAAGGCAAAGACGAGCGTGCAGGGGTGGTACGGCGGAAAAAAGTCGGTGCGGCGCGCGATATATTTCATACGGGCATGCACGCCGCCCATCAATTCTCGGTGAAGCCCATTAACTCTCCCGCGGGGCTTCACCGAAAACGCAGCTTTCGACGGCTGACGAACGCGACAGCGATGCCCACGACACGCCGCTCTCTTCTCCGGCGTGATGACGAAAAATCGCCGCGACGCATACGGCGCGGGTCAAGGGTCAGAATCCGCGGCAAGAGATTAACATATTTATGATTTAATATATCGACAGCAATTTACCGCACCGTGCGCGCGAAAAACGAGATTGACGACGACGACGACGACAATAGCGTGAGGAAAAAGAAGAAGCACCGTTGTTTTTCGAAAGGGTTTTTTTTTTTCTAATTCGTCGCTGTGCTTGTCATATTCGTGCTTTGCTGCTTTTCATTACCCCCCTTTCGAGTAATTGTAAAGATCGCTGTCGCGATTTCGTTGAGTTTGATGGCTGCGAGCTGATGTCTCGTGTTACTCCCGGTACTAATTAAACGAACACGAAGATTGATGATGCTGCATCCGTCGTATCCGGGCGCGAAGAGGGTGAAAGGAATAAACGTTTCATATATCGGGAGAGATATAAAAGTTGTGTCATTCGATTCGAGATCCTTCTTGCACCTTTTCCTGGGAGCTGTTTTTTTACGGCGCGAAGGGGGTAGTCTTTTTGATTCGTACGGAAATAATTTATCGCCGGGATGTAAAAAGCTTTCATTGACTTCGAGACGTCAGCTTCGTTTCTTTTTTTTTTTTTCTTTCTTTTCGCGCTCTCTCTCTCTGCGGGATTTATTTCGCTTTCATAAAGTAAGGAAACGACCTCCCCCGCCACGCGTCCGGGATTGATTCCGGGCGGAATACATATTAGGCCTGCGCGGCGTAAATTTCACTCCCGTCCCGAAATCCAGTCTGCAGTTTTTCAATTAAACCAGCGCGATAGGAAGGCGGCGGCCACCGCCTATCGCAAATATTTACGCCGCGTAAACGCAACTGCAATTTTTCGGTCATTGGTTACTTGCACAGCAAGGCACCAATATTATACAAAAGGTCGCGGCAGCAAATATAACGGGTTCGTCGGGATTCGAGATGATTTTTCCTCAAATAATCTCTATGAGATCAAATCAGTCGTGCGAGAACCTATGAAATTAATTTTTCGCTGACTGTGAAAACAAGAAACATGACATTTGGGCGGATGAAAGGGAATTCGTTATTGTCAGAAATGAAAGCCCGACAGTCGCGTTACGTTTGGCTCGTCGCGTTCGACTTCGTACAATTTGTTGACGGTGAAATTACAATCGGGACACGATAGAGGAAAAAAAAGCAGAACGAATCGTGACAGTTACTTTGAACTTTCATACGTTTCATTTACGTTTGACACTCCGTAACGCGAAGTCGTCTTCATGACGTGGCGTTTCATCTCGTTACTCCGGTGAATTTCCAATTAAACGAGTGCATAGAGTAATGATGGTGCATCTCCGGCGTTCAGGCGAAGGAAGAAAGGAAATGAGCACGCGATGTATAGAAGCACGTTGACTGTCTAATCAAATCCACCTTTATTGTCGCTTTTGCGCCTTGGACGCATAACGTTGCGGTTGTAAACGCGAGCGAGCAATGCGAACGTCTCTATGGTACAGTAATATCCTTTCCTCTTCGTCATCTCCGTGTATTCTGTTTTAAAATTGAAATTTTTTCCTCTGAAACATCAACCGCGGACGCTTGAAACAACTGAATGAGAGATTAGAACGTTAATGGGCGTTGAAAGGCTCCCCTCATAAATGCACCGACAGTCTCGCTGTTCGATCGCACACTTTTCCAAACTGTGCAATAGGAAAATCGGTGTATTGCTATTTAGAACATTAAGTGTTCCGCGTTTCTTTTTCCTGGAAACTCTATTATGCGCCTCGCTATATTTAAGATACTCGCGAATTTAATATTCGTGTCAAAATTGCACATATAATACGCGGCTGGACGCTAATCGTACTAAAGTTTTTTACTCTTTAAATATACATTCTCGCGCGAATGCTGGTGCATCGAACGTGCATACCTTATGTAATATACCTTATGCACCTCGATATTTACGAGATAGTGTTGTTACGACTGACATAAAACGTGGAGGAAAACGAGGAGGGAATTCGGGCTGAATATTGTGCGGAGTTTTGCAGTGATGAATATCAATACGGAGCAAACCGATAATACGGAGTAAACCAGCATAAACAATGCTGATTATGTTATTGCTCGTGGCGCAGTGACGGATGTTTGTAGGTGATCTATTCTGTTGGTCGCTCTCTAATGGAAGGGGTGAGAAGGGGAAAGTGTGAAGGAATAGAATCCAAGTATCTTCTGTAATTTGTCTGTCGAATGAGAACGGAAAATCGTCGCGTCTCGGAAAAATCGCACGTGCAATTCATAAGTTGCATCGGTTTTCTAAAAAAAAAAAAACCATCGCTCTGTAATGTTTATTTTTCGAGAAATACGAAAAACCTATAGTGTTTGACGCAAGGTTTCACTTCGTACACGGATGCGAGTCCATATAAAAAGTAGCAATTTTTTTGTCAACAAATCCCTCTTCTGAAATGGGCTTGGCGATTACAATTCATCCGGAAGAACAAAAGACCGGGAAAATCGAAAAGGGACCTTTGGCCGCCATTAACGTATTTCGAGATGGCGATTTGCATAATGCGGGTGTGTACGACGCTGATTATATTACGAGGAATTTTCACCGCTGTTTCCGGACGACGACGACGACTTGTAGCGAGCGTTTGGCGGGGATACCGCGATCTTACGAAACAGTATCAAAGTTCCTTCAGATTCCGCCCCCTCGTACGAGGAACAATAGTGGAATTGAATTTCAAGGTAACGTAATCGCCACCATTTTGTTCGCCGCGCCGTAGGCATGGTCATTATTTCAGCAATTACGAGGTTTCTCGCCCGCCGCGTAACCTGGACCACCTCCCGGGATAAAGGGTAGAGGAGAGGAGTGGAAAACGACGACGAGAGGGGTTGAAATTGCTCAAAGGATTTGCCCTCTTCACTCAACCTTGTCGACTCTAAAGCGTTGAGAAAAGCGAAGTGCACGGAATTTGTGTATGTATGGGAATATGCGCGCACGTGTGCGTGTATTTCAGGTAAGAAGGGAGGACGACTTCTCCCTTCGAATTTGCACGTCGAGAATTAATGGCAGCTCGCTGTTTCTCAGCCGGAAGAAACTCGATTCATAAGCGCATGAATTTCCCCATGATCCGCGCTGCAAATTATCCCCGATCGTGGAGGTGAAGTTCACATTTTCGTATTCCAATAATCAAATAATCTCCTAAGACTGGTCTGGAAAATTACACGTCGGATTAGACCGGGATAATTTAAGACGGCGATGGCAGTGTGACGTGACGCGGCGCGGTTACGTGTAATACGCTTCCATTAGGCTTCCATTGTGTCGCAGCTTTTTCGCTGCTGCTGATAACGTCGTGTCTCCCTCGGAACCGCATTTTTCCGTGACGTGGCAGTAAATCACCGAAGAGAATTCGCAGAATAATTTTAATTTCCCCGGCCCGGGCTAGCAGCGCGCGCGCTCATGCTGTGAATCTTTGTTCTTACGGGAACCCGAGAGAATTGTTAAGTGAATGAATGCGAAATTTACGCTTTCGCGCGTAACTCATCGCGATGGTTTATTACGTTACAATCCAAATGTAGGATAATGCACATTCTTCTCTAAATATAATAAACGATTCTTGCTTCGGGCAAATAACCGCGCGGTTCCGTTGACCGCACCGCACCGCAATTAAATTATCACAGTAATTTCAACAACGGTCATCCTGAGCGTCCTCAAACATCCGGAACATCCGGCGCACATAATTTCTCACATCATTCCTGTCAGGGCATGTACTACTACGGGGGTAATGTCCGGGGCTGGAACATTTTCAGGCGCGGAATTCTCGCAGGGTGATCTGCATTCGACTGTGCCGAAAGCGAGGGCGTTTAACGTTGAAATATACGAGACATTAATAGAGCGGCCCCGAAGTATAGAAGCCGAATGAAATTTAATATAATTTCAACGAAGCATTAGAGAATGCGGTGAAATTTCGACGGGATGCGTTTTCATTAGCGAAACACTACCAATATTATAATTAGATGAACGAGCAGACGGGAAATTCGACCGATTATAACGCTTTTAATCTTTCCAACGCTGCAACTTTGATCCCACACGTTTCCATCGACGATCTCTATGCTTGTTAAAATTCAACAAATGAAGAAACGTGTTACAACAAATTATTACAATTATTTTCCCTTTTTTTTTCGTTCAACTGAACACACAATTACATTTTACCGTAATTTCGTGCGCGGAAGAAAGCGCGTTTTAAGCGTTGGATTTTAATTAAAGCGTTGACGAGTAAAAGGTACCGGCGGGGTGGAACAGATTCCCCCTTGAACGTCCGGGCTTATCTTTCGTAAAGTGCACTTATATTATGAAACGTCAGTGTTGAGCGATGCAGCGCGATACTTTAGAGCCGTTTAATACACACGTCATATATAACCGTGGCTATGCGTCATGAGCGCGCGCAAGAGAAAGAGAGACACAGGATGGGTGGGGTGGTGGAAGAGGAGAGAAAAGCAGAGGAAGGGAGAAAAGGGACCATCGAATGGGGTAGTGGATTGTGCCAGCTGGTTCTACTACGGCTGGCAGGGCTCCAAGGGAGCAAAAATCGCCCGGGTTTCTCGTCCGACGATGCACCGAGCGGGCCGGATGCATGATTTGTGTGCTTTATTAAATCCGATATTGGTCGAGTCGGCTAACCCGAACCAGGCCATCGGTTATCTCGCGGCAGAAACGAGCGCTCACTCCGTTCACTCTCGTCGAAGCGACTTCTCCACCTTCGGCCACGCGCGTTCGCTTTTTCATCAAGCTCGCGGATGCGGCGCGTCGCGGCGTGAGAGGTCGGACGGAAGAGACGTCCTTCTCTCCCTTCTCTTTCTTTCAATTTTTTTTCTCGAGGGAGAATAATTTACCTGTTCCACCGCCTTGAACACCCGTATAAGATTCAGGCCAGCCAGCTTCTGAATGTCTCTCTCCGACCAGCCACGCGCTAGCAATTCCGCGAAGAGCTCCGGATACTTGCTGACGTCTTCCAGGCCCGTTGGTGTCCTGGAGCAGAGAATTTACGATGAGACCTTATTGGGATTCGCAGATGAGACAGCGACGTGATCGATTAGGATAGAGCCGTAACAGATCGACCCACATCTTCCTTCGGGGGAGCTCGAAACGTGATTCGTAGGCTTTTTCGGCAATTATAGAAATATATCATCCGGAATTTGTACGACTCTCGTTAACGCAGGAAAGAAAGTGACATTCCCTTCTTTTCAAGTCTTATCAAACGCATCGGGAAGGGGCCGGAAGAGTATTCCCGTTTTTATTGACATCGCACCACGCGAATATTGTCGCGGCAGTAAAGCGACATTTGGCGACTCGTTAACACGATGACTCTGAGCCGCGCCTGCCGATCGGCGAGAAATAGCGCAGGATGAAAATATAATTTTATCCTCTCGCTCTTCTCCTCAGCCACCGAAAATATTGTTTTAAAACACTGCACTCGCCGGCGATAAATTTTCGTTGGCGGGCGAGCGCGCGGGTGCACCATAAAAGTCGATATGGAAATAATGTCCGTTCTGTAGAGGAGCGCCGGCTTGTGAACGTACGGTGCACCTAAGACCACAATTTACATGAATATTTCCGCTCGATAAGATAGGGCTTTAATGAAGCAGAAAGCTCCCCGGGAGTTTAAATTAGAAAACTGCTTGAAACTTTTATGGGTCCGGCTCGTACTTCCCGTATTCCTCCGTATTACTACGGTAATTTTATAGCGTGCAATTCTTCGCGGCAACCGCGCGGTAGCGCACTATATAACGCGCGCCATGCACGTGGTGAATTATATTTTCGTCCACCTGCATTATTCAGTGTGTATAGGTACGACCTTGACACGCGCGTGGCGCTTTATAAAAAGCTCTCCCGTCCATTATGCATGCGAGCGGCATGAATTAAAAAAGTTAATTAATATGTGTCTGTGCGAGATTAATGATGCAGCTTTCTTCTTTTTTTTATCGCGCGATATTTTCAGCGCGATCCGAGATAGCGACTCTTTTGTCGGGATAACAGAGAGAATTTCCGCCGGCGGAGCACTTCCACGAAAGACACCGTAAATAATCGCTCGCGAACGTGCACGCCGCGGATATTTATTAGCGATTAGATATTATTTATTCTTATCTCTCCCGCGGCCGTAATTTCTCACCGAGAACAAATGTTTAGTTTAAATTATCCCGCAAAATGTGGAACATATGGTTCCCGCGTTTCGCGCGATACGGGAGTTAATCCGCGCGCTCTGTTGCCGACCGTTCCGCTTAGAACAATTATTTGCAGAGATCGTTGTACCTCCGTAAAAATTGGACGAACGTGGCCGCGTGAGTCGGGTGAGGCGGAGGGAAACGAGGCGAGCGCAGAGCGGATGGAATTCACATCGAGGAAGATCAAAGTACAATAATGAGCTAGTCGGAGAGGTAGTCGCGGATAAATTACACGAGCTACTTCGGGCGGTTTATCCTTCATTACTTTAATTACCAGTACGCCCAGTGACTGCGGCGAACTTACTTCACCGTCGAGAGAGGCGCACTGCGGTGGAAGCGACACTTCGCCCTTCTCTCTCTCTCTCTCTCTCTCTCTCTCTCTCTCTCTCGTATAATTCTCATCTATGAGCCGAGCGTGGAAATGTGCCATGGATGTCGAAATTCCCGTGTCGTAACTCGCTGCCGGGTAAAAGAATGAAAAACGATTTCGTCCTGCGATCGAGAAAAATTTTCCGTCCTATTTCAACGAAGGGCGAAATCCGTTTCGAACCGTTGCGTCGAAAGGGGCGTCATTTTTGCACAGTTTCACTGGGCATTAATGGCGGGCAGCCTGTGCATTCGGAAAACGAATCGTGTATCCTCCGTTTTCATAATCGTCTTGGATTTCATTAATTCACCCCTCGGCATCTCGTTGCGCGAATGAAAGCATGATCGATATCTCTCTCTCTCTCTCTCTCTCTCTCGTGATTGAATCGCGACTTCATGAGCGGCAGCAGCGGTGTGGTAAAAGGGGTTAGACTGAATTTCGACGTTCTCATTACGGGCGTCATAACGAGGGCTCGTAGAAGGCCGGGTGACAACGGCGGCGGTGCCGTCGAAAGCTGCCCGCTGACAATGTCGGACCAACAAGAGCGGTTAGAGACTTATTCATGGCGCGTCGTGTCCCTGGCTGAAACTGGCAGTTATGCAGCTGTATACCGTACGCATCGAGGGCCGACCGCATCCAGGACCGTTATTCCAATCTCGGGAATTTCCAAATCGGGTGTGTCCATCATCATAAGCCGACTGTAAATGCGGGGTGATCGCGCACGAACCGAGAGCGATGGGTCGCGTTACGATCTCCCCGACGGTCGTATTTCATTTTTGCCCAGGATGTCGCGTGGCTATTTGTTTCCTTTCTTTCTTTTTTTTTCGAAGGAAAACAATGTGGTTTCCGCAGCGCAATCCGATACCGTCGACTTTAACGGTATTACGATATAAAGCGGAAATGAGTCTCCGCCTTTGGGGAGCGGGAATTTCTTCGGAGATATTCCGATTACCTATGTGGATACACTTGGTCTGTGTGTTACGTTTGTAATTTATGAATTTAGTTTGCGCCCGCCGCCGCCGAGCAAAAATGTGTACGTTGTTTGCGAATCCGCTACGCAGCTCGTTTATAGATCCCCCGGGATTCCGCGAAGCTCGCGGTGGTTAAGAACGGTTTATCTAGAATTTATTAGGAAAGCGCGGAACTTTGTTCGGCGTATGATTTATCTCGCCCGTGATCGGAAAAACGAGCGAGCGCGGTGAAACTGGATCGCGCTTATATCACCGCAACGTCGCCGATTAACGCGATTTTTTTAACGATTCGCGCACGCCCACGCGCGCGTGAAGATTCGATCGCGCACGGGACGAAGGAGTCCTCGATGACCGGCGAAACGACGGAATTATGCGCGGCCATAAATCACTTGAGTCGGCCACATATTACAGCCGGGAATACAGACACCGCTCGTAGAAACTGTCATGTAACGACAGTTACAGATAAATAATCGAGCTCCGAGCTGTACAGCGTCGAAAATATTGACCCGCCGCGAGCCACTCGTCGCGGATGTAGCCGTGTCGAAACGTGACGGTCCGAGCACCCGGGTACTGTTGTAGAGAGTTGTTGGCTGACCACGGTCACGAACGTTGTCCCAATTCGCGAAATTTCCAATTCTGCCTGCCGTCTCTCTATCGTGACGGGATTGGTATCGAGTCCGAGGACGCCGCGTCGCGTCGTGCAACGTCTCTGCACTCTCACGTTCGACACGCGGATGTTTCTATTGCCACACAGAGATACCTCGCAGAGAATTTATGCGGGCTAAAATCTGTAGTATAAAATATAGCGCGGACCTCGCTAAAAATTCGCTATCGCCGCTATATCTGTTAGGACAACGTGTGCTAACTGAACACCGGTTTTGCCCTTCTCGGCTTTCTCTTTCCGCACTCTCTCTCTCTCTCTCTCTCTCTCTCTCTCTCTGCTTCCTGCCCGTCACCTCTCGCACACCTCACTTTACCGTCGTCGGTGCGACCGGAATCGAATTCAAAAATACCGTTTCCACGGAGGAAAATACAGTTTCGCTCAAACCTACCGACAGTGATTTATGAACGTAGATGAAAGCGTGGAGACTCGCGCCGCGGAAAGAAACGATACGCCCCGACGCGCGGACTAGATTCCAGTAGAAAAACCTGAGGCAGCGAGATATCCGTCAACCCTCTTCGTTTCGTCTTTACTCGTGGTCGTGACGTAGATGTGAAGTACCTTCGACAATAAGGATGTTATGCTTAACGGAGTGTCGCACGACTTCATCTATTTTCAAATTCCCGGAATTATTTCTGCCATCTCTCTCTCTCTCTCTTCCTTTCATCCTTTTTCTTACTCTCTCTCCCTTTCTCACTCTCGATACACTCTATGCGTAAATTTCGTCCAGTCCAAAAGTCACCAATTCGAGGCACCCTTTCGATTCCGACAACGTGTCGATGCGCGAGAATCGTAAACGAAGCGGTCATCTGAACTTTTCTCGTTCATCCATAAGCGGCTACTCTGAGAAACGACGTTGTAACCAGTCGCTGCTAGAAACTCGACGAACGCGGCGGTGGCGGTATGAATTTTAATCTAGCGTAAAAGCTTATTGGCCGGCAAGGCTATCAGCGGCGCCACGTCCCGCCCGGTTTTAACCTCCACACTCCGCGCTTCCTGGGACGTCCAACGTCTATTTCCGTGTGACCCACTTTCCGCCTTTAGAAATAATTAAATATGCCCTTCGCTTTTTCCGGCTCGTCCCGTACGGATATTTCCGTTGCTCTCTCTCTCTCTCTCTCTCTCATGTTACGCTATGTGGCGAACTGCCGGCTCGCGCGCAGTCGATGGGTACGAATACCTCCCACGATTATTCGACTGAAATTTTAACGACCCCCTCCATCGAGCGAAAACGACTTTGCCCTCCTCGTTCTTCTTCTCCGCGACGGTGCCGTAATTTTTCTTAGGTACTAAGTGGAGAGGATATAACCGCTCTTTTCGGAGTTGAGACTTTTTAGAACTTTCGCGCTCTTCTCCGGAGATATGGAGATTGGAATGCTCTTTGCCGGTCTTGAATTTCGCGATGGGAAGTGCGTTGCGACATGACCCTGAATGTATCGCGATTTAACGATCGGATGGCGAATTGACGCGTTGTTAGCATAAAATCCGCGTGTGAGCCGCAAAAATTGATATCCGTTTGCCGAATTAGCGTATCGAGATCGCCGTCGATTCGGCCATGTCGTTCGCCGGACAAAACGTGAATTTGTTGACCGGCGTTATCTATTATTTCAGTTTCACATTACTTGCTCCAGCGAAGTTATTTGCAGCCGTGCGCTGCGATGGACATGGTCGAGCGATTCGCGCGGATCGAAACGGGCTGACGAAGTGGAAATGCAACGGGCGTAGCAATAAACGAATTGATCGCCGAAGAATAAATAGCGTCACGTTTCCGGCTTTTATGCATTTCGGGTCAATTTTCTACGTGAAGGCAATGAGCGTCGGTCCTCCTTCCCCGCCTGCCCCCATGCACGCGAGTGTTACTCGCGAATCGAGGGCTCCCCTGCGAAACGGCTCCCTCGATTAGCTCGTTGAAATTTTAACCACGCGCTGTCAGCCGGTGAGTTAATTTAACGTGCAATTAAGAACGCGGCGCGTTTCCGTCGTCGGATTCAGCACCGACCGTTTCTAATGCAGTTGGCGGTGCGGTTTCTGCATGAAATTGAGGGGACCGCATAATTCCTTTCCGCGGGACAAGTTGCTGATTAATTTGGCAAATAGCCGCTCTGTAAATTTGCCGCCGGCAAATGTGGCCGCTTCTTAAATTGTTTTGGGAAGGGGTGCCGCTTTTAATCGCCGTCGCGACAGCCTCGCTCTTCTTACCTTAGCTTGTAATTAAGTTGGTCGGGTAATTCGTACTCCGACACGTCCACTATTTCAAGATGCGCGTCGGTGGATTTTTTTAATTCGTCCTGGTTTGCACTCGTCCTATTCCCTTTTCGATAGCCGCGAATTCCTTTTCTCGTATTATTGAAATAGTACGATCGCACTATCTGTGATAAATGAAGGAAAAAAGATACGTATGTTGCGGAAGAGCGTTAGGAATTTTTCAGAGAAAAAAACTTATAATCAGCTATTCATCGATCTCCGCTCGTATTGGCTCTTGCGATTAGCACGTTGAAATTTTAACCATGAATGTCAGCCGAAACGTTTCATCATACGGCAGATTTGCCGTACGTGATTTCTCTGGCGCGGAAATAACACGGGTTTTACCTTCGGAATTAAATATACTTGCGAGAGAACGGTTTTTGTTCGCGGTGAAAGCGCGTTATCGAATTTATTCGCGAGGGGTTTGACGCGAATTCGTTATAAAAATCGTTCGGTGGAAAATGAACGTTTCGCCTTCTGAAAAATTTCACTTACTATTTCCAATGTTCACCGGGAAAGGTATTAGATACCAATGATCGCGGCTTTCATTTCTCTCTCTCTCTCTGTTTTCTATATTTCTCCTTTTTGATTTTATTTCTTATCTTTTTTCTTTAATCATTCAACTTTTTTATACATATATGTATATATATATTTATTTCTTTTTCTTTTGTTTTGCGATGTATCAAACGCTCTTAGAGTGCAGAGCACTAAAGCGAAAATAAATGCTATTATTTCTCTCTCTCTCTCTCTCTCTCTCTCTCTCTTGCAATATACGTTCATTTTGCGAGACATGTGAAAAGAAGAGAGCAGTCAAGGACAGAGTGCATTTTTTCCTTGCCTCGTGGAGTTTTCCATGTGTGATCCTTCTACGTTCTCCTATTTTACAACATAATTTTTAGTCACCAAGCGCGAATGTATTACAAAAGGATTGACGGTTGTTGTTTCGAATTTTTTTTACCGTGGACGGGCGTAACTTCAAATCCTGAGTTGCCGTGGTAGATATTAAATCTTTTTTCTTTCTGTAGCGCGAAAAGCCGGAAACACAGCGCGGAGAAAACGAGCATTGTTTTCATTCCAATGTGAAGTCTCTCTCTCTCTCTCTCTTGATTCCAACTGTTCGTATATCGTCACCACACATGCTCTTGACATTTGTATCGTTTTTCTGGAAATCGTCGTTCGGAGATCTCCGGATTCGCGGAATATCTGAGAACGAGAGAATAATTTTCCTCGATAAATTTTATGTAGTTGTCGCAACGAAGAAGAAAAATGAAATAATGATTATCGTGGTATCATGCATTCATGTCAGTCATGTTTATCAGTTTTCATTAGCAATAATTGAAATATGAAATCACTTTACAACAAAGTTGCTGATTCGTCCGGTATTCTCTAACCGCAAATAAATGGAATCCGTTTACGTGAAACGATATGAAACATCTAAACTGTATTGCATTCAGAGATAATAACGTTTAAACTATATATATATATATATATATATATATATTGCACAATATATTAATTAAAAAAAAAAAGTAATAATATTAAGATAACGCGTGCGTGCGTGTGTGTGTGTGTGTGTGTGTGTGTGTGTGTGTGTGTGTGTGTGTGTGCGTGTGTGCGTGTGTGTGTGCGTGTGTGTGCGCGTGTGTGTGTGCGTGCGTGTGATATACCAAAAGTATAAAATTTGAGAATTCTTGATTTTGAAATTATAATCAAATATAATTAATTATAATTGTATTCATTACATTTTCCTCGTTTTTGCGTTATGCGGTAAAATAAAAAGAAAAGGGAAAAGATTCCCGTGCCTGTAAAATTTCGCCAATAATATTGGAAATTCACGTACGGGCATTTATACGAAAAAATTGTTGATTTAAAATGTGATATTGGTATCGAACAGCCGCGTTTTTATTTTAATGCCGCGGTAATCGAATACTACGGAAAAAAAAAATATATATATATATCCAAAATAAAATTCCCAGTGTATGTGGAACGTGATTTCCAATACGTCAATAATTAATGACTTATATGTTCATTTATTAAACTCAACCAGCTCTCTGCGGTTTCTCTCTAAATTATACGTTCAGGTTCGATTTATTTGCTCATAAAAAATAAATGAAAGCTCATGTATAATAGTTACGTTCAGATTCAAACTGCGTAAATTCTCCGATTTATAAAATATATATATATATATATATATATCGGACTAAATTGCGTGGAGCGCATGTTGTTATTAACACTGTCAACTTAAATTTAGTCGTTCGATTCAAGTTTACGTCCCGGCCAAAGGGAACAAAATGTTGCACAGGCATTAATTATTCGCGGTATGTCGGTATATTTGCCGTACATATTTATTCTTTCGATTTTTCTCGCATTTGTATTCGCGATATTGTCGCCGGGCAAAAATACGGAAAAACCGTATATATGGCGGCGATTCGATCAGCGGCGTACCTTTTATGCCGTTTTTCTTCTTTATCGTTTGGTCTGCAAATCACGTCTCGATGCATCCACACTGTTTTTCAATCCTCCATATACACCAAACGCACTACGTGTGTTTTTCACGCGGATCCGGTGCAACTCAACTTTTTAGTCACCCCCTACCGCTCTCTCAATTTACTTGAGATTAGAGCTGCCACCCTCCTCTTTCTTTTCCCTCCCCCTTCTTCCTTTTCTTCTTCTTCTTCATGGTCTGTCAATTTTTTTCGTGAAGCTTGATGGTAAGTACAGCGATTGCAGTAACGCACGCGCTCGCTACAAAGAGATCGGCATTTTTAACAAAAGGAGGGTTGGTCGGTACTCGTGTGTTTACCCGATTCTCACGTCCACTTAGCAGGCCCCGCATACTTCCACCTTCACTTATCGCGGCAAAGAAGAACTCCGCGGGGTCGTTTCTGAGCTAAACAAGCTGTGTGAAAAGCGTAACAAAGGCGGGGATAATGGAAGGGAATAACGTCGGTCGTTTGGTAACAAACGGCTGAATACCATCGAGTATCTCGCGAACGCGAATTTATTTATGGAGTTACTTGAAAAATTCACCGGCGCAACGGTTCTCCTTCTCAACGGTGACTCTGTCGTGAAGACGACAGAGGCCTCGGACGGATGGATATTTATGAAGTCGCGTTGACTAAATAACGTTCTCTCTCCACACGTCTTTCTCTCCGCACGTTTTATTTTCTTACCGTTCCAATTTCACTTTTCGACTTCGAGACGCACCGAAGTGCGCATATTCGATGGCCGTTTGAAGTCAAACCAGTAATATCCTCCATAAATTTCGCGCGGGAGGACACTTTAACCGTCTCCCCGTGTCTCGCGAATATGATCGGTGGCTCCGTACGTATTGATTCACACTCCGACCTACATTCAAAGGCAGCCGAAAACTTCTCTACGCTCGCGTACCACGTACCAACAGTTTGCAAGTCCGGTCGGCGACGGGAAACGCGCTTTCGAGTTTGCATCACTTCCGTACGGTAAGGAAGTCGTCATGTTGTTTGCCTCTTAACGGGGGAACAAAGGCGACCGCAGTTTGATAAATTCAAATTTGAGATTTCGCGAAAACAATCACGATAACAATAACGAAGAAATATTCGGTGGAAAAAGATGATATCGGTATACCGGTCGCCGTCCGTCACATTAGTTCCGTAATGCACTTTAACCGCACTACGTTCGGCTCTCCCGACTTTCGTTTTTAACCCTAGCTCGCTGTGTCCTGGTTCAGCGAACCGCTCAGCATTTTTCGGTTTTCTAGTTTTCACACGGCATATTATTTTTTCTGAAAGTATATCAGAAGATGTCCGCTACAATAAACAAATATTACTTTCTCTTCGCATTTGCAAAACTTTTCAGCATTTTTTCCGAAAACACTTATTTTCTTACAGTAAGTTTAGATTCGTTTTCTTGACCTGATATCGTAAACATCTTATACAGACTCTGCATTTTCAATTCCCATATTACGAGCTTAGAAATATTAATTATAATAAAAATGACAAGGCGACAAAGTCGAGCGGGCCGGAGTGTGGCGAATTAAATGCTCGAAGATAAATGTGGCTAACCAGGGTTAATGCGAACGTTTTTAATATTTCGAGGTCACACTCACAAATTGATCCCGTCGTATCCAGCTCCGATGCCGACGTGATCCACCCCGGCGATCTTCCGCACGTGATTGATGTGCGCTGTAACATATCAACGAAAATTGCATGTATAACGTAATCGTCGTAATGCTCGTCGTTGCGCTTAGTGCGCGCGGAGATACATGGCCAGCGTATAGCTCATTTGCCGTGTAACGAGCGAAATTACATTCGCCGCCCTAACCGCGCGACCACCGTGAACCGCGACGGCCATGAATGGCGGCGCTGGTGATTTTTCAACCGCGGACTAATACAACTACGACACAATGTTATACCCCCCTGCCCCCTTTCCGAAAGTCACCGAGAGAAAATTGCCCGCACTTATGCGTTTTATTCGCTCCTATTGTCCATCCACCGGTAACGCGTTTTTACGCGCTTCGTCGTATAACGATGTCGCGGGCGTACGCGCGCGTCCCCACAGTCGCAGACACGGTTTGTATTCCAGACGCTGTAATTGTCAATTTGCTGATACAATGCAGCGCGAGAGAGGCATTAAATTAATTCCGCCTTCAATAGAAGGGGATATTGCGTCTGCGAGCGGGATAAGTCGGAGGTAATTCGCTAACGTTGCGGCGGACTCATTTTCCTGTTTATGTAAAGTCGACGGGCTCGGCAAACCAATTTGCCAGTTACCACGGTCGAGTTGCGTAAAGTTAGAAAAACGCTGCCCTGGAGAAACACGTTATTAACCTTCAATATTGACACATTCAGACGTGCGCGGATTACGCCCGCGCTCGTTTCTCGCGCATTTTCTGCTCTTCGCTTCTGTAAAACGTCAAAACGCGCGCGCGCGCGCGCACACACAGTCTTTTCCACGTCGGAGGACGAATAAAATTCAAGTGATAATTCGAACAAGCCACAATGAGATCGCGAGTGTGCGCATAAACAATGAAAATTTGCATATCCGTCAGTTGGATGTTATTGTTAACTAGGGAATGGTCACTGGTATAATTCACATCTTGGTTAATATATCACGAATATAATTCACACCTCAGCGACCCACAATCCAGAAGACAATTTCACACAGTCATCAGGATTATATGAAAATTTCACTTCTCGTTTATTAATTCAGTGCGAATTAAATTATCTGTCATCGTATGTTATCCCGACCAAGAGGAAACGGAAAAAAGAAAGAAGAGAAGAAAGAAAGAAAAAAACAATAACCCGTTACTAGAGATGTTGTGATATCATGAAATTTTGGATACTAATATTGAAACGAGTATCCAATCAAAAATATCATTAATGATACTAGTATTAGAAAAAATATCAATACCGATAATGGCATTGAAACTTAAAATTAGAAGAAATATGAAAATCAGAAAAGTTTTTGTTCTGCAAACTACTTTTACAAAGGTTTTTCGTACATATACGCATATATAATAATCTTACTATCATATAAAAATACTTCTACCTTCTGCACTAGACTTTCTACAGTTTGTGATTTAAAAACCTTAAGAAGGATGTGTTAAGATCTGTGCCCTCGCTATGACTGTCCTTGTTTGACGTCAGAAATGAAAAATCATATGCCAAAAATTATTGCGGTATACGTGGATATATAAATAAACAATATACGCATTAGGTGACATTCATGATTGACTCTGCACATTTATAAAAAACCGAACGCTTTCCTTTTACTTCAACAATCAATAAATAACCGTAAAATTAACGTAACAGAAACCATGAAAAAAAATAGGTTTAAAACATAAGTTGCATGTTATACTAATTTTCATGAAGCAAAAATATATGATATATTGAAGATCGATTGAATAAAAATTCAAAAATAAGATATCGAAACACACACACACGCACATAAGTTATTGATATGGGTACGAATTTCGAAGGAAAATATCGATACAAAGATAGCCGTTATTGAGAGAAAAATATCGATACAAGTATAATATCAGTATTATCACATCATCTCTATCCGTGTCATTTAAAGCGCGTTTTTTTCCGAGGTTGTAGATTGAAGAATTTACAAATGCGTCGTGTGTAACGATCTAAGCACGTAACGGATTGCGCGACGTGCCGCTCGCACAGGCGCGGCATGCATAATCGATCGAACAAATGACATAATTCATCGGTGATCAGAACGCAGCGCGGAGTAACGGCGCGCGTCATGGCGCCGCGATTTTGTTCGCGAGGCTGTCCGCGAAGCGGAACACATCAGAAACGTCATGAATTCCGATTTTCGTGTTTGCCTCGCTCGTTCTCTCTCTCGTCCGGCCTATCTCCATTATATCGTAAATTATGTGTCGACCGGCTCGGCACAACGCGGTCTTTCGAAATTGATTATGATTCCGCGAGGCATATCGTTACTAAGCGCGGTCGGAAAATCACGCCTGACGCTCAGCAAGGCAAATAAACAAGCTGACAGATAATCCGGCCAATCGGAAATTTTGATTGTAATCAAATGTCGCGTGTAATCGCGCGTTCGGATATTTTCAACGGGTAGTTCCACAAAGTGCTTTCACTAAAAATACGCGCTACTTTGCGTGGCCTCGGCTGCCGCCTGTTACGGTAAACAGAGACACTTGAATTTGCATAGCGTCCCGTGTATCGTAACGCTTACGCGGTAACATTAGCGGGTAGCTGCGAGATCTTTCGATTTGCATGCGCCTCATCATAAACAGCGTGGTTGATGTTTGTTTAAGCGAAATAACGCGCGAATGTCTATCAAGATGCATGTGACATTTTGCGGCAGGTAAGAAAACACGCCGAACGCAATCGAGGGAGCGCGCGGTGGTGGGAAATGAAGAAAGGGAAGACTACACGTTATCACCGTACGCATCATTTTTCCACGGTAAAAAATTGATACGCTCATGTACAATCGAAAATTCCCGAGCGCCACCGCATCGGTTTGGAAGTAACTTTCGGGCGAATGCGACGCGTATATCCCGCGTTCGTTCGCAAAGTCCCTTGAATTTAATTGGGAGACGGTGAAATGGTAATGCGAGCGAAATTACGGAGTGCAGAGAGCGCGCGTCACCGTGAATTGAAAGTAACTTCCGCGGTCCTCGAATACCGTTACTGACAGATAACGCGTGCTTTCGCGCGGTCCCGTCGCTCGCCTATCCGGATAGGGCGAGCTCATATCGAGAAAATTGCATTCATACTATAAACAAAGAAGCAGTTATTCGACAAACGTAATGCGGTGAATCGCCAGCGAGACAGAAAGAGAAGAGAACCGGCGAAAGCCACAATACCGCGGTTATTATTAACCGGCAGCGATTGTTGGCCAGCGCAACGCGGTCGCCATGGGATCGGCTTTCCACGCGCTGTTGGAGGACGCGACGCGACGCTCGGGAGGGAAAAGCGACGAGAGAGAGAGGGAGAAGCGAGAGCTACGCTCGCGAATCAATCATAAGCGTAATACTGCCAATGGCCTGGCCGCCGACGCGGTCGCTACTACAATCCCGCGACGTCGCCGAAATTATTGCCGTGCCTCGCGCACCCCGCGCGACAGAACGCACTTCCCACCTCCCGTTCGCCCCCATAATTTTCTTCCCCGTGCGTCCCCGGGCGGAACATAATTTTCTCCGCAGCTCTGTAGCCGGCGATGTAAAGCAATTAGAGATGCGGCCCGCGGAAGGAAACGATTATTCAGGCACCCGGCTATGCCCGATTACGCGTCCGATGTGCGCTGCCGTCCGGCTCGCTGCGGAACGAGCAATTACTGTTCGTTCTTTCTTTTACCGCACACCCGGAACACTGTCCGAGATGCGAGCGCGGTGCAATTTGAATGACCTTTCAATCCCGTGCGATTCGTTATACTGTATGAGTGAAATTTACGGTATTCGTGTCCGAACGAGAGAAACGGGAGAGAGAGAGAGAAAAAGAGAGCACGTATCATGCTTGTTACCGCGGAATATGATATTAGTGCGCGTCGCATTCGCTTATTCCTATAAAAGATGCACCGAAATACCGCGGGAAAATGGCGATATGGATTATCGCGATCCTACTGTGACCACAAATTTTCCGAAACTACGAGCCGCGGCCGGTTTGCATTATCCAAGGGATTAACGGGGGAGAAATGGACGAAACTAAAGGGAGTTTATTGTCTCGCGCGCCTCCCATCGCGGCTTAAGAATTTCGAAATCCTCCGACGCCTTTAGCGAGCGATGCTCGACGGAGAAGGGAGACGAGCGAAGTTGGTTCGCTCCTCGCACGTCGAAACTCACGTTCGCGTCTGCAAAAACCGACACCGCTTGGCAGTACTGTGCACGGAATTGGCTGCTCCCGCGGGAAACGTCGTGGTGTTTCGCTTTTTTCGTCCAACGCCCGAGCGAACGCCCGGTTTTCACGCGGGATGCGTTTTCGGAACTGCGGTTTGGCCGCGCAAAGTGTGAACTTTGGATCGCGGCTAAACGCGATGTTTCACGGGTTCGCGACTTCGCGATCGATCTTATCGTTATCGCGAGAAGCATGGAATTAATTTCGTTGAACTATACAGAGTTTACCGAAAGTGTGGAAACAATAGTGTGGAATATCTTGAGAACAAAGCAATTGACGAAAAAATGATTCAGACAAGAATTGTAGGATTTGGAGAGCGACATAGGCTGGTGATCCCAACTTTATTGCACGGTTCAAGATCATTTTCATTTTTTTTAATGAAATCATATAGTTTTTTTTTATTAAATTTTATGGAATTATATAATTTTTTTCTAATACAAATCGATTTCTCTGCTCATTTTGCGTATAAAAATACTAGAGTAAATTCACCTTTCGATGATTTTACTCTAATACTTTTATACGGAGAATGAACAGAGGAATTGATTTAAGTCAAAAAAAAAAACTATATGGTTCCATTAAAAAAAAGTGAAGTTGAAATGACCTTGAATTATTGACTGCAACGAAGTTAAAGTTACCAACTTATGTCTCCCTCTAAACGCTGCAACTTTTATTTTCTAAAGTGCTCTGTCTTCAGGATATTCCACCGTTTTCACATTTTTGATAAACCCTGTACATCTCGAACGTTACGGAAGAATTAGCCATTTCTAATCTCTCCGCATCGCGAGGAAAACGACTTTATTATCCAAGATTGCTCAACAGTCTGTACAATTAATAAAGTAGACTAATTTTGTGTCTTATAAATGCGAGATAGGAGGAAGAAGAGAGAGAAACTGTTATATTCTATGTTTTAATTTAATTCCAAGGAGTTTGTCGTAGTGACGCATACTTGATTAAAATTCCGTTCCCACGGCTGGTATATCTAATTACGTCAGATATACATATATACACAGCCGTTTACCGCGTATACATTACCCGCGCGGTCTCAAATGTTAATGCCTTCGGAACTTTGAGCCGCCCCTATAATAATGCAAATAAGATGGCAACCCTGCGGGAATTGGCGCCTAACGCGAAAACTCATCTGCCTGCGCTTTGCGTCGAGACGAGACGCTCCGTATGTTCGCTTTCCGGCGTCGAACGGGAGCGCTAAAAGCAGCGGCTTAGTCGCGAAAGCCGCGTGTCAGTGAGGGGGCAAAAAAGCGCACGGTAAGCACGCGAGGTGAATCTCTCTGCGCTTTTCAATTAGCTTTTATCTCGAGACATGAGAGAGGACACGACGATCACGACGCGCACTCGGAATCGTCGCGGAGGACGAGAGAGCCGAAGCAACGCTGATTACACTAGGGGCAGAAAAGAAACCAAAAAAAAAGCCGCAAGCAAAGGCGCTTCTTGTTTGGTGCAACGGCGCTTTGTTTCGTCGCGCTCCAGAGAGGAAATACGAACGTGGCGACAGAAATGCGGGAAATGCGAGCGATTCTATCGGTTATCGGATCGTGTCGCGCGCGCGTTGCATTATTTCAAAAATTCGGGGATGATCGCGCATTTCGGCGGACAAATATCGAGCCTGGAGCGCGTGTGATACCCGCACGGCCGATTGGATCTCGCGAAATTTTATTAACATGTCGCGCGGCCGCGCGCAAACGAACCGACGGTGTAATATTCGTTTCGAGCGAGCATGTGGGGACACGCGAATTTCAGGTATCGGAGTCCCGCGATCGTATTTTCGGCGCATTCGCCGCGCGCACGCGAATTAATGATTAAAAAACGCAACGATATCCTTATCGCGCCGGATCTCGCTCACCTGCCACATCCTCGAGCGTCGATTTTTCACCACAGCTGATAAAATGGGGATAGAAGGATACCATAACTATACCACCGGTCTGCGCCTGCGAACAGAAATTAGCGGGAAGCGAATTAGGAGGAGAGGAACAAATTGCGCCGATGCTTTCGTTCAATCATATCGATACGTGCGAACCCGCCCGATGTTTCGTCCTCGAGGTGTACTCACCAAATGTCGCAGCGCGTGGTCAGGCACATTTCGCGAGGAATTGCAGAGAGCGTGGGCGCTACTGTGACTGAAAATCACCGGCGCCCTCGACGTCGTCATGGCGTCCAGCATCGTGGGCACCGAGACGTGAGAGAGGTCCACCATCATCCCAAGTCGATTCATCTCCAGTACGACACTCTGAAAGCTCCCATGGAGCGACGTTAAATAGTCTCGATATTGCTACGGACCTCTAAGTTTCAGCGCGATAATGGCATCGAGGCACCGCGGATTAAAATACTTCGCGGGATTTCAGACTTTGCGTTTAACGTCCAACAGCGTTGGTCTCTCTCTCTCTCTCTCTCGAATGTTCTTGTGATAAACTGACGCTAATCCGGATTAAAGCGGCTTGGAAGGGGATCACGTGGGATCACCTCGACGACAGTGTAATCGCGTAGATTTTTATAAATTTTCTACCCGCAATTTTTCGTTTCTTCCCCTTTCCCCTCACATCCTCTCTCTCCTTCTCTTCCTTCCTCTTTCTTCGTAGCTATCTTGTGAAATTTCGGGCCGATCTACCTGAGCGTCTTTCCTTGTTCATTTCGAGAACAAAGCCGAACTGACGGAGGGTTAGTTACGTATCTGTCGGGCTGCTTTCCGAATTAAATCTTGCGTTAGTGGTGGTAGGTACGGGCTAGTTTATAGTACGCGCACGTTAGGTCAGTGACACTTATTGCGCGAGCCGGATTGAACTTCAGAACGAATTCTTTCTGGGGCTGCAACCTCGGGGAGAATGCCAATGCGAGGAGGGCCAGCAGCCCATGGAACAAATCGAAATGTCGAATCTTCCAGCGTCCGCATCCGCCAATCAATATGCCTAACGGACGACAATGGTATTTCAGATTTATGCAAACGTGTCTTATAACTCGTATTGCTGGGAGAAAATATATAACGCGTGATGTATTAAAATTGATAAAATAGTTAAAAACACAAAATAAAGTATCCATGGCGTCTCGATTTGAATTTTAATGTGTCCCAATCCGTCATGAAGACTGATTGATCCGTTATAAATCTCGGATCCCGAAACGCTGGACCAATTTTAGGTTAAATTCGAACGTGTTTGCGTGATCAGTAACAAAATTGTAAAAACAGATTTTCATGTTGGAGAAAAACGAGACTGATGATGTTTTTTCTAAGTAACGCGTATTCCCCGCTTGCAAGATATAATATTTACATTTTCGTGAAACTAACGATGGAAAGTGAAACTCGTTGAACTCTTTGGCACGAAAAGAGTCGTCCTTGTTAGGGCAGCCAAGTTGTCGCGCAAATTCCGATTTCTTTCCCGCGCGGAGAACGTTACCTCCATTCTGAACGAGAATGCTTTGTTAAACCGGCAACGTGATAAACTGAACGTTCTAGGATTCCTCCTCTGCTTTCTTATTCCCCAAGGCTTCGCCATGGCGGTGCCTCTATCCTTCTTTTTATTTATTTTTTCCTCTTCTTTCGCAAGTCGTGACGGATTCTTAGCGTGACTTCCGTCTCGTTTTCATTGTGGATGCTCCGGGCGCGAGAGAAACTGGACAAGAAGGAATCTCGAGGTGCTAGCGGATAAATAGGGAAAACTTTAATGTGCGCGCCGGTAAATCTTGTAGCGGACTTATCAACGTGTTAAATAGGGAATTAATAAAGAATACGAAATCGTCCAATTTGAACGTCGGGAGTCCGCGATTTAAATTTCCACGCGACGAGCGTCTTTTCTCACCTTTTTTCTTTTTCTTCTTTACCTTTCTTTTTTCCCTCGGCGACGACGATTCCTCGCGAGATTTTCTTATCATACGTACCCATTTTCGGAGAAAACTAGAATGCACCTGTCTTCAACAAGACTGGGAGAAATTTTCAAGAGCCGGAGGTAGCTCGTGAGAATCTCGTTGCATAGAATCGCGAAAAGAGAAGAGAGCAGTAGGGATTGGATACGTGCGGGTGACACGCGATAAGATGGTTTTGCTGGTCGGAGGATCCTTGATGAAAAGGGTGCACGGAGAGGGCGGAAGACGAGTGGGAAGAGAGATGCGTAAGCCGGGCTCAAGCGATTCCTTTCCATTATTCAAGCAATTTATATTCGGAAAGGAGCAACTCGTGTATTTCGCGATCTAACCTGACTTTTCATTGCACCTCCCTCCTCTCCCTCTACTGTCTGTGGGAACCGCAAATTATAATGGAATTCGCGAACTAACGAGAACGCGGGGGAAGAAACAATCGTGTGTCTATTGATCATGTTATTTGTAATCGACCGATCGCATGTTATTTGTGGTAGTGGTTCTGTATCTGCTCGCGCTTCGGCCAGACGAATGCTACTTCATTTCGTTTCACCATTTTTGGTAGAACGGCTCTCCGTTCGTGCGAATGAATGCATTTACGAGTCATTTCGTGGCATCGGCAAATAGAAATAGGTCGCTCCTAGATGGGAGTTACGTTCCTGTGTAAAAACACATAAATATCTGATTGATGAATATCGGCCGAGGGTCTTTTTTTAGGACATTATATCATTGCCCTAATCTATGAGCTCACTCCCCCGAAAGCACATTCATAGTGAATTTATTTCTTTTGAGGGATAACGTTATACATTTTTTTCGGTTATTGGAAGAATCCACCCTCGAGGATCTCCAGGGTGTGTTAAGGTGGCGCGGTGGTGGTTGGTACGACCTATCGGTCGACAGGATGACGAATAAGCTTCATTCTCCCATGAGTCCTTTTGAAAGGTATCCACTCGTATCATAGATACGTTCTTCCATTCATTGCTCCCTCAGGTATTTTTCGCGCGAGAAGAACCGAAGAAGGGGTCGGGCCGCTCATTCACTCCCTTTTGACCTCTGTGTCTAATCTTTTTCTCGACCTCGACTTTTGATCTCGCGACGAAGTTAATCCACCGTGTTCGAACACGTACAATTTTGATATTCGCCATTCGAGACAAATCAGTGTTGATTGTTACAGGGCTACCTCAAAATAGTTTCTCCTCGGAATAGTTTCACGTTGAAGCCTCCTTTTTCACGAATGCGAAATTAAAACTGCTCCATGCGGAAGAGATTTTTTTCGTTCATTGAAAATATATATCTCTCTGTCACGGCACAATTTTTATATTAGCAAATGAAATATTTCCCTGGAATTAGAACGGATAAAGTTAAAATTGCAATTTCAATCTTCTTTTACCTCTACGCACGCGCGCGCATATATACATCAGGAATGAAATAATCGCAGAAATCATTTTCAGCCTTCAATAAAAAGTTGTAAAGTGATGTAGAATGTTTATTGAATTTTTTGTTAACGCTTCTCAATTAGTGCATATCCCGATAAGATAATTTAATAATATAAAAACTTAATTCTCATATATGTTTTTTTCTTTTTCTTACGTAGATATATATATGAGATAGAGTTTTGTGATAAAGTTCGTGAGTAAATCCGCTCATTTTCAAGATAAAAATTTGAAGTACAAGTCACTCAAGCGGCATCCGTGCGGAAAATCGTCGTCAATTACATTATCGAGGGATAGTACGAGATTTGCTTCGGCTGTACGATTATCCCGATTAGCTTACGCCCGCCGTAGCATACAAAATTGAACTCGTTGGAATTACACTGGTTTCAATCCCCCGCCGCCTCAACATCGTCTTCCGGGATGCATTTTCCACTCGAGAGATTCGCTCGATCGAAATGGACCAGCCAAATCTCCGACAAGATTCCATTTCAGCCCTTCTGCGGAGAGACAAAGGACCACCGGGTGGCGTCTCACTTTGGTCGCATAGGAAATTGCGCGGGTTCGAAATGTCGAAAGTTTTTCCAACGCAGTCTGTCGGGCGGGGCGGGCTAGTAGCGGGGGGAGCAAGTCGAACGGAAAACGCTCGCGAGGCTCTGCCCCCGTGCCTTTGTTCCCCGGGTGTACCGTTCGGGAACGGTCTCACTTTGATTGATTCAAGTTGGCGGCAACGGCGGATGCTGGTCAACCTGTTCTTTCTCGAGGGTAAAACTTACCCTCTGCGACACCCGCGCGCTTTGCCGCCGGCCGACGTCCGTTATCGTCCAACTTCAGTTTGCGAAACTGTCGGAGTCCCGCCGACTATTTAGACGCGAACTCCCAGAACAAGCTCGCAGGTGGCATCAAAAGGGCGGCCGGTCAACCCATAACGCTTTCGGAAACTTATCGCCCAGCTGTACTGTCATATTGCGACTTCGCGAACATCCGCGTCGCTCTTCTGGTGAATTGGGTACACGAAACTGTCAAGCAGCCGCCGTTGCTCTTATTCGGACTTGTTTCATGTAAATTTTTATCCGTGCACGATTCGCTGCGCTGGCTGCAAGTTTCACACAGTTTCTGCGTTTCCGCTTGTGCGGTCAGTCTGAACTTCATTCGCGCTCCCAATTTTATTCCGTCCCTACTTCTGTATAAAAATGCGCATATATATAATAGTCCACATATACAAGTAATTATATATAGAATGTTGATAACTAATATTATGATCTAAATCGTAGGCACTTGTGAACTTTTTGTTCGCTATGGGTCATTTGGTTCTCGATTAAGAAAACACAATTAAAAAGAAAAAAATCATGATGCCACTCCTCCGGAATTCCGATACTTCAATGCGGCGTCGCGATGACTAAATTAAGAGTGTATCAACTTTGTGTTATGTTGAAGCGAATTAAGTCTTATCTTCGTTCAGCGTGGTTGGCGAGTGGTAAGAATGAAAATCGATCTCGGTAGCGGCAACTTGCCGAAGTTTGTCGATGGGTAAGAAATGAGCGCGCGCGCGCGCACGGTAGCCGGGGCTAAGGTACAAGAGGTAAAAAGCGGGAAAGTTAATAAAGGACCGGTGTTCGAAAGTTTAGCATCGTCTACGAGATAGTCAGGAATTAAGATTGAGTGGACGGAGAGAGAACGATAATGCAGCTTTAAGGAGTCTCTCGATGTAGTCGGAAACGCTAATGCGAAAGCGGCACTGTGCGAACTTTATGAAATTAAGGGAATGGTACTCGCAATATTGATAACGTCTCTAAGTCGCGCGTTATGAGCAGTTAATGTAGGGCCGCGAGGCGTGGCCGCGGAGACGAGTACCTTGACGGCGGCGATTAATGCTCTCACGTCGAAGGCACTGAGAAATGATGTCATGAGAGAGAAATATCGACTATTCGTCGCACGTATAAACCATTTCTCT